TTTTTAAAAGGCTCTCTTTTTTTAATTTGGTTTGGGCTAAAAACATATGCTATATTTCTTGCGTTTTTCTTCCATGTTATGATTCGTGCAGGAGGACCTCCTGTTGATGATTACGGGGTTTGGCAATAACGTTTCTGGTTTTAAAAAATGAAATTTCATTCCTTTTTTGATCGATGCAAAAAAGGAAGAAGAAAAAAATTAAGTTCTTAAAATAACACCTTTTAAACATCCGGAAATACTTATTTATATCTTTCTTTCTCTCATTTTTCTTGATAAAACAGGATAACAAAAACATCAAGAACCAATGGTCCTATCAAATTACGCTATAATTTCCATCTTAGCCAACAGGGATATAGGTTTAAAGTAATTTCTTGCTTACGTAATTAAATCTTAAAAATAATAATACAGCGGCGGTAAATAAACCAAGGGTTAATCCGTACCAAACGCCTTGTATTCCTAATTGAAAGGTAAATCCAAATAAATAGCTTAATGGCAATGCTATGAACCAGTATGCAACAATGGTGATCATGGTCGGAATTTTCACATCTTTTAATCCCCTTAAGGCTCCTAGAGCAACCACCTGTACCCCATCACTTAATTGAAACATGGCTGCAATCACTAACAAAATAGAAGAATAGTGAATAACCTGGGGATCGTTACTGAAAAATAATGGGAATAGGTTTCTTCCTAAAATGAAAAGAATACCTGCAAGGCTCATAAATAAGAGAACCATTAAAAAAGAGGAGAAACCTACTTCTCTAAGGCCTTGTTGGTTATTTAATCCAATCTGATTTCCAATTCGTACCGAGGTTGCAGCAGATAAACCACTGGCCATCATATACGAAATAGCGGCAATGCTTATGGCCACCTGATGAGCAGACATGGCCTTCGCGTGTCGGAGAACGCGAATAGGCGCTGGTGGGAAAAAAAAAGCCACGCCCGCACGAGGGGCGTGCTTTTCGAATGTGTCTCCTTTTGCGGGTTGTTTAATTCGTGGGACGTTCGTTCACGTTTCTTTTTAATCGCGAATATCGCGAAAATTGAACCTACACAAAAATACGGGGTTTTACAGCTATTAATTTTTGCAGGGAAAAACATATCAAGCTTCGCTGAAAATGAACATGAAGAGGACTAGTAGAACAAAACAAGAAGACCTGCAGCATCAACAGGAATCTCTCGATCTCGGAGCAGTCAGCTGGTGTCCTCGGGGAGGCTTTTAGATTGTGACTTGTGAGGGCTGCACAACAGCGGAAAGGAGGGCACGAAGCGGGGACATATCTAGCATGTTGTGCAAGTAAGTACAAACGGTGAAGCCTAGTGGAAGAGCGAACGTCGTACAGAGTACTAGAACAAACAGTAAAGCGTTGACGTAGACTTGGTTCACTGTGTAATTGGGTTGCGCATGCTCAGTTTCTCAAACGCACGATATTCACACACTCCTCTCTAGTCCTCAGCCCTTCGTCGTCAACCATAGCCATGGTGGCGACCTGGCGAAAGGATTTTTTATCGTTTCGTCCGACCTCCAATGCAGCCATATGATAAACTAATCCTTTATCTGTGTGTCTGGTGACTGTGTGCGCTAACAGTATTTTATTTCCACTAGATAACATTTTCCATCGAGACAGTTGACAGTTCGTGATTCATGAATAGGCCTAAGTTAGGCCTGCAGTGACCAGTTATCCTCTTCCGATGATTTCCCGCAAGTTTAGAAGTGCTGACACGAATCCTAAGTGAACGTTGTTCTGCAGGAGTACCATGCATATTTTCCTCATTATCCTTAGGCTTATGCTTAACTTATGGTGAACCCTTCCATACGAAAGTTCATCTGAGAACTCAGTTCCGACAGTATGTGTCTTCAGATTTTCGCAAGTGTAAAGTGACTAAAAAAAAGTATAGACCTTGAGCCTATTTTATCAGACGTTATCAATCACAGGCTGAGGCCTATGTGATTGGTACAGGGGTTGCACTAATGACATGGCCAATGGATAAATACTCCTATGGCATGGAGACCACGACCTGGGATGTCTGAGGTGAACCATCATAAGCACTTAGCCTACCTAAAGATACGTTCTGCTTCAGTTTAAACCTTCGAAGCAAAGTACCTAAGCCTGCAATTTTCAAACTTTCTGTTCTGCAACCCCATATGAGAACAGACCACTTCATTTAACCCTACCATTCCCACTGACAGACTAACAAGCTGGGTGGTAGATTGTGAGTGTTTTATTTATTTCTGTACTTGTATCTTGTCTACCTTCATCTATCTCACTGTTTGCTGCTTTAAATGATAATTTTACTTTTGAGTCACCTTAACAGGAGAGTGTGCCCCACAGTTTATAAACTGCTACCTTTGACAGACCAACATAATCTTAGTAAGAACCCTTTAATTCTGTACCACATAATTTTAAACTTGGGCTGCATCATTTTCTACCTATACTGGTTCAAGTCAAAGTTCATTATTCCACTTGATTGCTTTCTCAAGTAAACCCGAGAATCTAATTATCAAAACTTCACTTCTAACAAGAAGTGAGAGTTGGATAAATTGGTGTATATCTGGACCAAGACCAAGCCTGGGCTTGTTCTTGAAGTTTTCATTTTTCAGATTTTAAGCCTAACCTTGGCCTCTTTGACTGAACTGAAAATGCCCTCCAATTCAACTCCTTTTTACCTTAACCCCTTGAACACACATGATGCACCCATATGCATTATGGAGGAATCATGCAACCAATACACATGATGTTCACCAGTTGTTCACAGTGAGTGTTCATGGGGGGAAACAGTATCGGGAGAGGAAGTAAAGTCAGTGGTAAAAGCATTTAAGTAGAGAACTTCAGCAGAAACAAAAATTATTTGATTTAATACAAAATTCTGGTGCATGATGGCAGAAAACTATCCAATACCTGGTGTGTTCAAGGGTTTAATTAGTCAGTTATTCATCTGAATGTCTTTCCTGAAAAATTGTTGGAAGACTCAATTGATTTTACCTTGGATTGTTATTTTTTCAGCATATGACCATTGAATAAGTCTAGTAGATGAACCTACCTACCTAGGAGGTGCATGTATCATCATGTTGATAATCAGGATTCCCTTTTGTGTGCAGAGGTTTGAGAGATCCTGCAGAAGTGCCAGGATGCTCTCCCTTCCTTTTGTCAATCCACTAATGGACAGAAGGGAGATAAGACTGATAATGGTATTCATGTTATTATCTGTGGTCATCTTCCATCTGCTTGTGGAAGATCATTGCTACATGTAAAACATTTGGAAGTGCTCCTTGGATGTATTTTCAAAAGGTACTGTGTTAAAAGACACCTAGGTTGAATTGTAGCCTATCCTCCAGCATGCAATAGAGTCCTACACACTTAAATGAAAGTATTTTCTATTTAACATATTGTTTCTTCTATATTTAGCTAGTACAGCTAGTAAAGATTCATCACAATATATAAGGATGGGTTGCACACTTGTCTGGATTGATAAAGAGATGTCAGCTCAGGATATAAGGGCTCAGAGCTGCATGCTTGAGTTCCCTTTCAACATTGTGACCATGAGTAGTTGACTTTGAGCTTTAATGCTGCCAAAACTTGACTGATATGGGAAAGGGTACATTGTAGCCCTTTCCAATGCCAAATACTTGTTTTCAAAGATTTTAAAGATGTGTCAATGAACAAAATGAATAGAAACTACTCCTAAGGTGAAACTGAGCAGGATGAAAGGACAGGTGTCCCAGCAAGGGCATCCTTAAGCCAAATTCCCCTGAATTAGCTTGGAAAGTTTTGGATGTGATGGGATTTCCTTAGTGTTCTTTATTGTAAGAGTGTGAGAGAAGAGAATCCCTGGATATAACAAAAGTTTGGGATAAGTCAGAACAGAAAAGTGGAAAGCGATAATGCTGGTGTCTTTTCACCAAGGTAGAAGGGGTCCATAAATGAGATGCTTTTCTCTTGCAGAATGATCTGGGAAGGAGGCTGAAGGTGAGCAGATGGACATTGTAGTACCTGCTCAAAGCATGACTTTGCTCCCTATTCTGAAAAATGTCAGTAACTTGAAAACATTGGTCATAACTTAAAACTTTTGTCATCTGTTGGGATCCTCTTCTCATTCGGCCTAATTAACTTAAGCCTAGACCTATTAATTCTTCTTTTTTTACATTTAATTATACTTGTAGGCAAATCTCTTTGCCCTGCTCATTGTCTTCTCATCAAGTATTACAATAATCAACATGTGTCCTAGGAAAAAATATAGTGAGCAACTACTATGGATATGCTGACAACTACATGGCCAATATTCTGATCTTGTTTATGGTTTTTGTTTCACTCTGAAAAATGCCATCAGTTTCTCCCTTTCCCCTCTGAGCAATTCCCAGAGGAAGGAAAGGCACATGCATCTCAGCCTAAGTAGAATCAATAGATTGCTCACATGGGTATCAGTGCATCCCTAGTTGCAGCTGTCATTATTTTGCTAAGTTGTAGCACAAATCAGAAATTTACTCATCCTCAGGCCTTTTTCATTCACTATATGAAGCCTAAGTACTTTTCTAGTTGCTTTTACAGTCTTTCCCCTCTTTTTTTCCCTTAAAATTCTAAGGATAAGTATATATTTTCATGCTTCTACTAATGCTGAAGACATTCCCTTTCTTGTAGTTCTGTGCAAATTCAGTGAAGATTCAATATCCAGGTATTATGGATTACTACCCACCTCCAGTGTGGGTAGATAATACTCCAGATCGCCTGACAGAAATATGTGTTAGGTACTGTGCAAGTCATCCTAATACATATTCTGAGGTTGAATATTCAACATCTCAGCGTCAACTGAGAGAATACCTGCCACGAGAAATCTGTGAACGTCTACTTCATGCACGCTTACCTGGAAACCCATCCATAGATGACACAGTGCTTCACACATTCTGTCAAGTTGCAGATAATATATATCCACCCCCTCACCTTCGCAAAATAAATTTAAGAGATTCAAATGTGACTGACAGTGGTCTTACCAAGCTTCTCCAGATGCATCAAGTGACCGACTTGAACATTGACAAGTGCAAGAAACTGACCTGTGCTTCCCTGGCAGCAATCAATTTGTATGACAGGCACCTGAAGACCCTCCACATTGGAAATTCTCGAATACTCCCTTCCAAACCTCCTCACAGTAGCAATGCTCACTTAAAGGGACTGCCCATCTTTCCTGGAGCTATACTTCAAACTCCAGAGCTGAGGATCCTGGTACTGAGAGAACACTGCCCAGAAGTGGAGAAGTATTATGACTCCTTACTTCTTCCCTTGAGACAGCTTACATACCTTGACTTGTCTGGCTGTCAGTGTCTTGGTGATATGGCATATTTGCTGCATATGAAGTCCCTTAATGGTTTGGTGTTATACAATGTGATAATCCCCCAAAGCGCCATATTCAACATCTGTCATCTGAAGCAGCTCAGGTATGGAAGAATTTCATGTAAAGGATGTATGAGACATAGCATAGAGTCTTGGTCGTGTAAAAGTCCTTCAGACATGTTCCTTCAAGGCAGAGATGAAGTAAATGGATTCTGTTCTCTTTTTGAATACTTTTTTATTTCTCCATGTCTTACAGTGCCTTGTAGAGCTCTTATGCTACATATTTCCAACACGTAACCAAACTCATTGAGGACTGAAAAATTACAGGAAATTGTTGTACAACTGTTGTAGTGTCCATCAAGCAAAATCATCACTGGTGGGAGGTGTTCTTATCAATTTCATGTTTTATTTTTCATAGTATTAAAAAAAAAAACAAAAACCAAAAAGAAATCACTGGTTGTCCATCCTTTAGGCTGATGTTTAGCATGCAGATCTATTTCTTATTTATCCCAGAGTTATCTTGTGTGTTCATGATGACTAACTTAGAATCCTTATCTTGTGTTAGAGCAATCAGGGTAATCATCCTATGCTAGATAAAGGTTCCTGCTAATTAAAGCAATGAGTATCCTCTTCCTTCCATTTTAATGCAAAAAATATCTTGATATGCAATGAAGGGGCTAAGTTGACCTAAAAAAATAAAATCTTTCTTATTAAAATCAATCTAACATTATAGTAGTGATACTAATGTTGGCAAAATATGTGAAATGCATTATAAATAACATTACAAGGAAAACTATAGAACAGCACTGATGCACAAACTTCTGTTGCTCACATAGGAGTTGAATGCATTCCCTTGGAACAACTGCAGTTGGCTGATTGGAGAAGCCTTGTTAAGATATGAATATTGTTGTTGAATATCCATGAGGTGATATTCTTAGACATATTTGTATGTATGCTAAGCAGGAATGATTCCTGTCAGTGAATGTCCATCTTATTATGTTCGGCTTGGAAGGGGGCAATTTAAACGCATTGCCCTTCCAGTCACTTCTGCAAGTGTGCCAATTTTCCTGGCTTTGAAACATCTATCTATCTATCTATATATATATATATCTTATATGATATCTTATATCATATATATATATATATATGGGTGTTTATTTTTGAGGGACTCTTGAAGAGTTATGAGGGACTCCTAAAGAGTTATTTCCAAATGAATCCTCCATTTTTTTATATTTTTGCATTAAAATGTTGCTTGGTGTTAAGTTGCCCAATAAGTTTTTTTTTTTTTCACTTTTGAGATGGTGCAATGGAGGCACCTTTTTTGGGTTGACTGATGCTTTTCTTTTCCTCATTAACCTCATTGGGACATCTTCAATGTGCTGTCAAGTTGAAGGTCTACACCCTTTTTCATGTGCACTTTTTTTACTTTGCTGATGTCTTTGTTACTGTTTTGTTCCACTGGACAGGAAACTGGACATATCACAATCTGAAGATGGACACGGAGAATTTGAAGAGCCAAACAAAGTCTTAGAGAGTCTGGTCATAAACTTACCCTTCTTGGAGTATCTGGACATCTCAGGAACCAATTTGGATGGAAGGGGAAAGATGGAAACACCTGCATCACGGAAAAAGGGCAAGATTCTGGAACCCTTGACCGACATTGCAGGGTTGCAGAGTCGTGTTTCATCACCTCTGAAGTTCCTTGGTTTATACAGTACGGCACATGGTTCATGTCGAAGTCATCATATCCCAGCCGAGCAGGTAAGACTTCCATTTAGGCTTTTCGTGTCATATTCACACTGATGGGTTTGCTTTTTTAACTAAAGAAAGCTCTGGTGCTGAAGCTGTAACTGTTGCAGTGGAAATTTCTATTGAAACAAAGTCTCAGAGGAGCTTCTTGATTTAAAGGAGGTTCTTTGTGGTGAGAAGCTTTGTTATCAGAAGTATACAGAGTACAAACTTTTCTCAACTGGGCTACTTTTCCTCAATGTGATATGTATCCTGGTTGGCAAGGTTAGTTACTGCATCTGGGCACATCTCTAATTTCCTTCATCTGTTCCTTCTTCTAATGGTTGTTTTTTGGGTCGACCAAGTATTTGGTTGTGGACTGTACTAATTTCATGGCACTCTGGCACTGGGTGAGATTGATCACTTAATGAGACCAATACAGTTGTTGGCCTGTCTGGTAGCTAAAAGGATATGCTCTGAGAGCTGGTTTGCTTCTATGGTCCAACATGACTTCTTGACATGACATCTTATAGTGTCCAATATTGCTATGGATCTATTGGTACCCCATAAGAATTGTGATTTCCATTGCATTCTTTGCAAATGTTTAATTTACATTAATTTCCTGATATATGAGGGGATGTTGAATCTGAGCCATAATTACACATATGACAATATCTTTCACCACTGTCAGATATATGGCATAATTATGCCATCTGGTGAATCATCATACGCAATGTGGTATGTGGTTATTTGCATTCCACTCAGTTTATGCATTCTGTGGGTGCAAGCCAGCCTTCTGCCATGAAATGTTTCTGGGCATGGCTAAGAACAATTCTATTAACATCAAAGGGTCTCCTCAGCCTCACTACTCTTGGGACTACATAAAAGGGTCTTCATTGCAACTAGCTAAGTTGCTAGGTAAAGGAAAGCATATTGTCTGGTGAGGATTGTGGTGTTTTATGTCCAACACTGAAACTTTGGGACACATGATCTTTGGAATTTGTTGCAGTAAAACAGAAGATATAATAAGTTTGCAGAGTTGCATATTACAGTCACATATGCCTAAATTATTATTGTGTGACCTGCTTTGTCAATAAAATAATTTTTATGATGTTAAATGGCATGAATGTTCCATGGCTAAAAAAATATGAAATCAGGATTTGGAACAAAATAATTCTCACCCAATGATATGTTGTAACAATGGCATATGATGTCCCCTATTTTTACTGTGGGGCTTCTGTGATCTTAGGCATTTTAATGACCTTGAAGAGCTTCTAAGCATCTTCATGTATGATGCATTCCTTGGCAGAGTGTAGGAAGATATGGAGCAGAATACAGTGCACAAGAACGTAAGTATGAAGTAGATGCACCTACTAGGAATGCATATGGCAAAAATAACTTCCTAGTGACATGGAGAGAGCAGAGTAGTATGGACTTTGGACTTACCCTGAGGCTTTCAACTATACTTTCTTTGGCCAAAGAAGCACATGCCAGCCACAGTGCAAATGTGGCTTTAAGCTATGATTTGTTTAGAAAGATGATCATACAGACCCCTTTAGTATCAGATGTACTGCTATTGGTATTTTTCTTTATTTTTTTTTACATCCATGAGGGCATCACTTCCATCTTTCACCAAAATGTGTAATGAATTGGTCATAATTTCTCATTGAAATTGACTCGAGATGAATCCACTTGAATAATAGTGGATTAAGGCTTAATTTGAATGCAGCATGGGGACATTGGTTGCCCTTAGTGTTCTGTGATTGGATTTATGTGAAACTAAGCTTATGTGTTGCTGAAATTATTTCCAGGTCACTGGGGATGCTAATGAAGAACAGATTTTATTGGCAGCAGAAATGTACTTGGATCGTCCCGGTACATTGATCAAAGTCCTCAATGACTTGTTTCACCTCTTGCGCTTTGACATCTGTGTTGATTCAAAGAGAGCCACTGAAGTGATCATCAAAGCCATGGAACTCCATGTTGACCACAAGCACATCCAGATTTCTGGAAGGTGAGTTTGCTAATATTTTATGTGTAATTTCATTTTAGGTCTACATTTGTCTTGATGAAATTATGAGAGTGGCTGATTCTCACTTTTTTTAGGGCTGTCAATTCGATTAATTTAATTGATAAATTAATTTAATAAAATTACATTATATTATACAATTATAAGGGGAAAAATAGGTATACAGGGGGAGATTAGGGGCTCGATTAAAATTCAGTTACTTTCAACTAAATTTTAAAATCGCTATTAACCCTTTGAGCCCTCACCACCGCTTTACCGGTGGTAGAGAGAAGTAACGTATTGCCTGATTGGCACACAAAGAAAGAATTCTGGCGTTAAAATGAAGGTATGTTATCCTGCTATTTGCATGCAAAGCATCAATCTCATCTCTTTTATTACAACTATGATATTTGCACAAACATTGTATACCCATTATTAGCAAATTTTGGCCCAGGAGCTCAGGCAGAAGGCTCAAAATTGCTCAGGAACTCAGGGCTCAAAGGGTTAATACTTTAATCAATTAATCGGTTGATTAAATTAATCAAATTGATAGCCCTACTTTTTTATTTTGAGCCTACTCATTTAAGTCTTAACCCCCAAGTTATGGTGGTCATATGGATTTATCCATTCACCAGTGAATAATTGAGCTTCATTGTCTCCTCAACTAAGGTAGCTGTAAACATGGAAATTGCATGAACAAACAAAAAATTTGTTCATAGTTGCTGTGTTTTTACCCCCTCTACAGGAAAGCAGTCTGGTTTTTTTACATACACATGTAATTCTCAGGAACAATTCCCTCTGTAAATCCCTGTTCTGTGTCTGCCTATATGTTAGAATAGAGCAGGATATGGATTAACTCATATGCTGCAGAATTTTCAAAACCCTAATATATCCCTTGGGTGCAAAAATGCAAAAACTACAGCTAAAAAGTTCTAGGTAATGGGGCAAGGGATCAATATCATTAGCATATCTATTTTCTGCTCTCATCTATTCCTTGCTGGATCTTATTTGAGACTTCATTGCATCTAATTTTGTCTCTTGAGCCTTACAGAGCCATGCATGCAAACCTTTATGGATCGTTGTATATAACTATGCAAGCCTCACTTCTTGTCTGTCTGTACCCAGAAACTGGCAACATGAGGAAACAGAATTTTCTTAGCATTTTTTAATCCATTCTAAGGGCTTTTCTTCATGTTTAGCATGAAACTCATTTCAACTCTTCTTTTTTTTTCAAAGTTTGTACATAAATGCATTCTATGCTTTCATTTTCTGCCATTTTTCCTGTTTCACTCATTTGGATCACTATAAGGTTCAACTTATGGATCACTACCATGATCTGGTTGCACAGAAGAATCTTATCCTCTGGCTATGATTTTGAAAGTCCACTCTTGTGTCCTGGAACACCTTCCCTTCCTTGAATGCTAGCAATAATTCCCTAACTCCCACTGGCTCTGATGATATTGCTAGAAGTCTTTTTATAGTGATACTTTTCTTTGGTAGCAGAGATTTACGATGAAAGCAGTACTTCCTTGTGCAGGAGAAGGTAGGCAGAATATCAGTCATATTTATGTGTCCTTTAAGGGGTATTATAATTCTGAAAAAACCAGAATTTAATACAAATGTTCAAGATGTTAATGGATAAGTCCAATAAACTTTAAAGATGGTGGTGGCTGGTGATTATAAAATTACATCTTATGCAGGAGCATTGTTTTTTTTGTTGCTATTGTTTGCTTCTCTCTCACAATGTTTTCTTTGAAGATGTTCACATTTGCCTTTGGGTAGGCCTTCAACACTTTTGAATACTTGGGAATTACCTGAGCCTGTAACTTAGTGGTATTCAAAGTGCAGCCCACGGGCCACATGTGGCCCACTTCATGGTTTTATGTGGCCCACTAAGATTAACTAATAGTTGACTTTTTATCATTTAACTGCTTTATCAGCAATGATGAATAATCATGATGAGCACATTTTGCAATTCCACATTTTAAAAATTTCCCTGAAAACTAGCAAGTAGTCATTGTTTTGATATTCAGATAATAATACATGCTAACATTTATATGCCTGTGTTGTTAGTTGTGCACCTGCTGAACTTTCCTAAAATTTGGAGCACCCATATAATGCAGAGAAAAATGCATTTCCTCGCAAATAAATGAAGCTAAGAAGAAAAAATGAGTATATATCAAAAATACAACTTGTAACTAAGCAAAACTGATGCATTTACATGAGCTGACTCCAAGGAGAACAGTTTTATGTGACTACAAAAGGTGGAAGTGTGTGTGGATGTGGCAGGAATGGACAGTTTTTAATTGTTGCTCACCTTTCAAAGGGGTCTTCCTGGTTTAGAGTAGCTTGACTGAGTGGTTGATGGCTACATAAAGGATTAACCATGTAGAAATGTTTGATCTTTTTCATTGCTGCCCACTCAAGGTAGGCCAAAGAGTCTGTGAGGCCCTTGCCTCAAAAAGTTTGGGAACCACTGCTATTACCTGTTGTCAGATAGCAAGTTTTGTCATGCTTCCTTACCCTGTTGCTGGTTGATTTGATGTGATTGAGAAACTGCTAACAAAAAAGTTGGCTTCAAAGCACAAGGAGCTTTGATCCTTAGGCTTGACCATCAGTTGATTGAATGAAGCATGCTCTACATGATTGAGGAAAAGATACTGGGTGTGTATAAAGTCCTTGTGCAACTTAAAATTTAATAACTTTGAATGCACACTTGATAGATGCAAACTGTAAAAGCATAATGGAAGCATAATTATAAAAGTTTTTAACATACCAAGTATAAATTTGTATGCCTCTACATAACTGCCATATTTCATGATAAATCATTCATTCAATCCAAGTTTCCACAAGTTTAAAAATATTTTCCATTTGTTGCAGCATGATTTCATGAATTGCATTTTGTGATCCTGGCTAAAAGTCCATCTTAAGAAGGCTGTTTTTATGAGAAAGCAACACTTTTAGCATGGCTCCATAAAACGTAGTCCAGTGAGAAACTGGTCTGGTGGCCAAGAAATTTGTCCAAATGTGGGATAGTTCCAGGATGTAATTTTCCCAGCCAGGTGGTTTGGTGGAAGTGGACCAATTGTTTCATCCCTTTGACTTTTTCCCATTAGTCTACTTTTTATGAAGCCATGCTAAAAGTGTTATTTTCATATAAAACCAACATTCTTAAGAAGAACTTTTAGCCAGGATAAAAAAAGCAATTCATGAAATCACCCAGTGACAGTTGGAAAATGTTTTTAGCTTTTGGAAAATCGGATTGAATGATTATCACAAAATATGGCGGTCATGAAAAGCCACATCAATGTATACCTTAGTGTGTCAAAAACCTTAATAATTATGCTTTAATATGCCATCTACAGTTAGCTTCTATCATGTGTACATCTAAAGTTATTAAAGTTTAAAGTTGCACAAGAACTTTGTAAACACCCTGTATAACTGGAAAAAAGTTTATTTGGAGGTTTCATGGGATTTCCATGAAGTAATGAAGTGATATGGATTCTAGAAATAAAATTTCAGAGACACATTCAACAACCATTATGACATTTCTCGTTCAACCTCTACTGATATCAGAAAAACCCATGACCATTTCTCTAATTCCTCAATTCACAGGTATAGAGATGAGTAACAAATGCAGACTCCATATTAAGAGATGATCATCCAAAGATTCCCCCCTCATATTTTCTGTTTGTCATACTTTGACAAAGCCTCAAGAATTTTGGGCCTATTAGCTTCAGTTTAATGCTCTTTGCTTGATAAAGTGAATTTTACAGTTTCTTCCCTCTCAGATCTGGTGACATTGTACATGTAGCCAATGCCTGTCTGAAGAATCATCTGAATTTCTTTCTTTGAACCTTTGCAGTGCTTCACTGTTCTACATAGTCAAAGGAGGAGAAAAGATGCAATTCAATGTGAAGGTGAAGCAGAGGATTTTGCACACATTGCTTGTGTCCATGATGGAGCACAAAGGAGATGCTACAATGATGAGAAATGGTTGCCTGACACTCTGCCACTTCAGGATCCCTGATGATCTGGTGAGATATCTCAACTAAAGAACATTATTTTCAAAGGATCATGGAGAAATGTCCCTTTTGCTTCTTCTGAAATCTCAGTAATTGGTCACCAATCCACTTCACTAGTCCCTTATGCACCTGAGTTGTAAGTCTATCATAGTTGAAGCACTTAACAGGGCAGCATATTCACCTCTGAAAATTGCACTGAAGAGTTGGACTTTAATACTACATACTTCTGATACTCCTATTGAGGATATTTATTGCTTTTGCAGTTGTTTGAGTATGAGAGAGTGATACACGTCCTACTCCATGTGGTCACGGATGAAGACAGGGAAGAGGAGTTTGTTCAACGTGTTGGGGTGTTTCTTCTCAATTCCATGGCCTGTCGATTGGAAGGGAAGCATAAACAACTTCTTGGAGACCTTGGAGCCATTTCAGTGAGTACCTCAACATGCAGTCATTACTATTGGGAATCTATATACAAAGTGAACTCAAGGTTTGTTTCTAATAGTAAAAAGATCTGGAAGCTTAACCAAAAAAGCTGCAAGGTTGAAACTTTTGCAGGATGAGAGTAGCAAAGAGTGAAGTTGTTTTCAATCACTTGTTCATTTTGAACAGCACCATCATGAAGCCACTGACAGAAAATTCATTTTTTTCCTGGCCTTGTCTCTCCCAGGAATCTCTCTGATTCTGCTTTTTTCTTTTATTTGCATATGAGTGATGGCTGAGAACTTTGATTAAAGTGTCTAGTGTCACACTAAAATCTATAAGAAATTTAAAGATTGTTTCTTAGATGCTCTACATTAGTGCAAAGATTTGTCAGGTCACATTTTAACAGGGGGGAACCTCCAGCAGAATTGACAAGTGGAAGGTTCAATGAGAAGCTCCATGAAACAGGAAGTGTGTTAGATCACAATATCTTTTTTTAGTCCTTGAATTCACTTTAAATGGGCTTCAAATGATGCAAAATGTAAAAATTCAGGGGTGTTCTAATGCTGAGTAGGTACTTAAGATCTTCCAGAACAAAGGCAATCCAGCACACTTGCTGGAACTTCTCACAGAACCTTCTATTAGGAAGAAGGAACTTCCAGCAAGACTGACAATGTGCCCTGAGAGGCCTCTGCTCTCATGAATTCATGAAACTACTTTTGTTTCTTCAAGATTCTGGTGCAACATTTTAATCCCTTTCATCAACTTGTCTCACCTTCACTCACCTGGAGATGAAGGAAATGAGAGCAGTATCAGCAGAGAGAAATTTACAGATTTTCATTATTATGATATGCTCTTCAGTGACTAATCAATTGCCAATAATTGCCCTGACAGTCACCCATCCCTGTCCACATGATAGCTCTCATTTTGTAGAACACCTATGTAATACAGAAACTTTTTTGTTTCATTGTTGTATTCTGGAAGTAGCATTAAGTGGTATCTGTAGGGAATGATTTTGCTTTCCCATAGAAAAATATTCGTTTTTTTTTTCTTGCAATATTGGTAAGATGTCTCCCCTTCATCTTATCTGAAAAGCTATGATGGAATCATGGAAGGTGATATTTGAGATATTTGATGAGTGCAATTTGCCTTTCATTCTTCATATTGCATTACTTTCTGTAATCCTATCCCTGGCTTTGCTTTGGACTCTTTGAACTCTTTTGAACTTGCAGACTATGATGAATCTAATCCAACTGAGGCTGGATAGGAAGCGCTGCGATGAGGTCATGGAAATGGCCTGGTCAACTATGTGGAACATCACTGATGAGACACCTATCAATTGCCAACGGTTCCTAGAACTTCAAGGAATGCAATACTTCATCCATTGCCTTCATGTATGTTCTTTCATCTCTTCTTCTATTGTGGCAACCTCTCAATAGTGAGTGTAATATTCACATTCCTGTGTTTATAATATTCAGGCTTCCATGTTTCCCCATATATCTGTTCTGAATCTGAATCCTGTTATTGAATCTGAATAAGGTTGTAGATAGTTTTTTTTTTTGCAGGCTTTTTTTTCATGCATTTGAATTCCAGAGACTTCTTCACTGATTGTAAATGTTATAATCTCAAGTTGCAATTGTGCAGAGACATAACCAGAAAATGGAATCCTGGAGTTGAGGATCTCCTGCCTCCTGCACCCCCCCCTCCTTTCCTCCCCAAAAAATTAATTCCTGGCAATGTGCTTGGTAACAAACACTCATAGTGAACCAATGAGCATTTAATCCTACCAGAACATATTAAAGTAACACAGGCATCTTTTTCCTTTCCTTTGAGGAAAAGAAATGGTGGCCCATTTTTTTTCTGCACAGAAAGAGAAAAGGGAAAGTGACTGGGATTTTTTGCTTTGATATATTATGGCATGGTTGGCATTTTCATTCATACTTTTTCATAAAGTATTTGTCAAACTTCATGACAGACAAAAAAATAGTGTTTGTACCATCTCTGGGCAAAGGTAAACTTATTTTATGAAGGTAGAGGTGCAATTGAAGCTGTGAGGTAATAAACAGCATTGTTCAAGATTGTTGCACATATGAATTTTTGACACAAATGATTTCTCACTCTTGGGGGACCAGTTGGCATTAAAAAATCAAACAGGCAGTGGCTTATCTCAAGCCTTTGAACCCAACAGGACATTTATTTGCTCAATGTTCATTTAGCCCTCTTTGGCTTTTATATTTTCTGTGTTATCTTCCTCCTGCAATAATGATTCTCACCTCAGGTATGCCTTTCAGAATGCCAGATAGTTGTTATCTATTTAGAATTTCAACAACTAGTTCTATAATGTGAGGGTTTGTCTCTGTGACAGGCTTTTCCTACAAAAGAGAGTTTGCTGAGGAATATGATGGGACTTCTTGGGAACGTGGCAGAGGTGAAAGAACTCCGACCTCATCTGATGAAACAAGATTATGTCCGTGTGTTCTCAGAGCTCCTTGACTCTGAGAGTGAAGGGATTGAGGTGAGCTTATATAACCATTTCAGTGTTGTCCTCATTTGACTGTCTTATGATATGCTAATTTGGAAAAATTAATTCATTACTTTTATCTGTGTCATTAGGATCAATGGGATATTTAATAACAGCAGTTCTCAAACCTTAAGTCACCAATGGAATACTTATTGACAAGGAAGTATCAACCCTTTGCTGTCCTATGTCGGACCCTCTCTGACATTGCAGAAACCCCTTTCTGGTCCTATGTTGGATGCTGTTACCCCAGTGGCAGGTTTTTTCAGTGTGAATATTTAAAGCAATGGTCGCACCTTCGGCGCTCCATTATCTAGGATAGTGATTCAATAATTCATTTTCAAAGGGGCAAAAATTTATTTAAAGTACATCCCTGTCAAAATAAGAACCATCAGGGGAAGTAACTAAGATTTTTATCAAAATTTTATCAAAATGATTTTTGCATGCCTAATGTCAAATATCTTTATGTGCCCCTTTTTGTCAGAACGGAAAATAAATCTTGAAATACTTCCTCTCCATTATCTGCCCTGAGAGCATATATTTCAAAAGTAGGATTTTTTCATTACTCAGCTATCCATCAGGTACTTCTGTGCCAAGTTTTAACTTTTTATTTCTCTGTGATTCATTGGATCGAAAAAGATTTGGGAAAATGCACCTCTTCCAAATAAAGGTGCCCTTAGGGGGTTTTACCTTAAAAGTACAGTTTTTACTGAAATCAGTAATCTGGGAACTATATGCCCATCAAGTCTCAACCTTAAATGTTTGCCCTTTTTGCTGGTGAATAAATATCTTTGCAAAATGATATTTGTTCCACCCACCCAAAAGTTATGCCCTGAGGGGATGCACCATAAAAGCTGAATTTTCCCTGAACTCTACATCACGTCAGTTTTATGTTTGCCAAGTTTCACCTTTCTTTTTCTGTGCAATTTGCTTGGACAAAAAATAATTATTTGAAAACATATCCTCCAAAAATGTGTGCCCCCAGGGCACAATCAAGTCTGATTTTTTCTGAGAAATTACCACAAAGTAAATATTTACAAATGAAAATTTGCATATTGTTGACATTAGTTCATTGTTTTGTAATAAGGTTCCTTTAGAATTGCTTTAGTGTTGATGAAAAATTTTAGTTCAATTTAAACTGCTTGTGTTATTCTTTCTTATTTTTCCATTAAAATAAATTGGACCTGAGGAGCCAGACAGCTGAATAAATGAACTGCAAAGGGTTAACCTTTATGTGCTGAAGATTTCCATATTCAAACAAAGGATGTAAGTGGGAAAATGCTAATTTTGCCATATTTGAAGGGCTTGGAATCTTCCTTTCTACACCTATAAAAGAAAGATTCAGTGTTGTTCATATGTGGTAACATTTGCATTTTCCCACATAAAGCCTGTGTTCAAATATAGCAAAAAAATTTTTCCTTTACCCGGCCTGCATTTTCCCCTTTACCTGGCCAGCATTTTCCCCTTTACCTGCTCTGTTCAAATATGGAAACATTCGACATTTAAAGGTTAATGGCTCCTCCCCTGTGGATCCCTAGAAACCGTAACTACACCCTAATGAAATCTAAGAAAACCTAGAACCAGGTCTTCAAAATTCATTCATGAAAAGGTATATTATTAACTGTCAAGACAAGTATTTTGAGAAGATTCAGTCAAACTCCTCATGTTTTCTTTATTATGCTTCAACATGACTTGTCATGCTGGATATTGAAGCTCTGAAAACACCAGCCAGCGAAACAAGAAAATATCAGTTTCTCCAATTATGGAATGGAAACCATTCTGAAAATCAACTAACATAACTTCAGTATTAGGTAACAGTAAAAGTGGCTTAAATCTGAAAAGTATATTTATAACCTTGTTCTGTTTTAATGAAAAGTAGTGGTGGATTAAGGGGAAAGCCAAGTATACACAACTGCAAGTATGATTGGGAATGTTGAGAACACCCATGCATGGAACATGCCTCATGACTCCTACATCTATCAAGCAGCAGAGGAAGGATGAATTGGAATGCTGATATGCAGTCAATAAATAAATTTTTTATTCCAAGAAAGAAGCTTTCCATGAATCCAAGGGTTTGAGGGAAGCAATGGCTAAGGGACATTGTCACCTCCTTGTCCCTTTTAAATGATAGACCAAGAAAATATGCCAGGACTCATGATACCCATCGCCCTCTTGTGGCACCCTATGTGCCACAAGAGGTGCTGCAGCACACAGGTTGCAAACAGCTGCATTATGTTATGCAAGAACTCGTCAGACTTGGAATCCTGCTTTCCCAGTCTTGTTTCTTTGATTTACCTATGGAATTAGTAGAATTTCATTGTAGTTTCTTGAACTCATCAGCCTTTCCTCTCCTTGGAAGTAAAGAGTGGAGTTGGTGTTAGCTTGCACACAAATGTAAACATGTTGACAAACTTTTGCAGGTGAGCTACAATGCAGCAGGGGTTCTAGCACATATGGCATCTGATGGGGAAGAATTCTGGAAAATTGAAAATCCAAGGCGTGGTGAAATCCTCCGTCATCTAGTTGATGCGGTTAATAGGTGGGACTTGAAGAAACAGAGGAACATCAATTATCGGTCCTTTGAGCCCTTCTTCCGCCTTATCAAGTGTGAGGATACCCCTGAGGCTCAGTATTGGGCTGTTTGGGCCATGGCCAACCTCACCTCTGTCTATCGTAAGTATTCATTGTTAGGTTCCTCACTCTTTAGCCTTATCATAGTTGCATTGTGCCCTGTGAGCCTCACTTGAGCTCAGACTGAGAAAAGTGAATTTTAATGTAAACATATTGTGTAAACATTAAGGTACTAATTCATCATGAAGTTCTTTGTACTGGCTCTGTGGAAGTAAAGACCATCTGAGCAGTTGACATCCTCATGACTGCTGTAAATTGTGACTACATTAGAAAGAGCTTTTGTTCCACCGAAGGAACTTCAATTCAGCTCCAGTGAAAACCATCTTAATCCCAGATTGTAACCATCACAGAAAGATGTCAACTTATTGGCTCTTGACTGGACTTTTATCATTAGTCATACTATAATATGTGTCTTATGTGCTTGGTGTTTCAGCTAATAAATACTGCAAGCTGGTGGACACAGAAAATGGCTTGGAGCTGCTTGAGAAGATACGGCAGGCTGAGAATAAAAATAGTCGCATCCATGAACTGGCCCAGATAGTGTTGGACAATTGTGCCTTGCAGAAGAGTGATAATAGTTCGGGGGAAGATTATGACTCATCCTGAGATGCCAGGCAGCATTACTTTTTCATGCTGATCCTGGTGTTTCAGGGAGATCATAATCCATGTTTCTGTCCTTCCTTAACAGTGAAGAAGTTATTCTTTGCTTTTGCTTTCCTTCCTTTCCCTTTTTATTCCATCATTGTCCACATTGTTTTTCTTATAGGAACCTTATCAGCTTGTAAACCTTTTTTTGATGTAAACTGGTTTGCCACAGTACCCTCCTGCTGCTAAAATTTTCAAGTTCAGAATGCATGTTTATGAAATAGGATTATCACCCTGTGTTATTGAGTGCTATAGATCTTTGATTGATCTGCTGCCAGCTCTTAGTGAGTAATTTTCATTTTGTAAGATGTGCTCATTCACATCACATCCCATTTGAGTGTATTCAGATTTCAGTTGGAAAAGATAGTTAATCTAATTGTGCGTGGATTATCTCTAGAGATGCAATGGTATTTCAGAATACATTTTGGTATCGAGATGGCTGGCGACATCAGATACTGGCTATGGAGGCCCTGCATGTAACTGGTATTTTAAGGTCAAGGTTTTTCTTGCAGTGGGAGATGATGTAAGGCCGAAAATCTTCCATGGATGTTGTGTTTTTCATTTTTTGTTATTTATGGGAAGAAAGCCCAGTTTTTCCTGCCTAATCTGACTTGTTCTGCAAAGAATCTTATTTTTTTGTTAATGGAGTGCTAAAAACAATTGTTTTTGGGACACTTTTCTTAGTATTATGAAAGTGGATTTCAGTTTCTGTAGATTTCAATCAATTTCAGTTGAAATCATGAGGTATTGATTGGAGTTACTGCTGAAAATCCTCCTTTGACCCTCTGAGTTCTCTGCAGGTGTGTCTCTACTGCTAATAAGGCCTTGCTAAGGTGTGCTGTATATCAGCTACCTGTGAAATTTAAACTCCATTGCATCTCTATGCATCTCTCTACTGGAAGTTGACTTGTACTTCTGTTTTTGCGTCTCGATGCAATTGAAGTGGCTGCCAGCATGTGTATTGCAGGATTGATGGAACTACCGGTACTCCCTTCCCTCATCTTTGATGCTCTCCCTTCCCCTGGTTGTATTTTTTTTCATGCCAGGCTGTGATATTGGAATTACAGGTGTTTCTGGGCTTGCTGTTCTTGAACTGCAATTTGAAGTGGTTTCCTATGGAGATCCTCATGGTGAAACTCCTGGCTTTGTCCATGGCAAACGTTCCTCAAGCATTGAGAGTATTAGCAATGATTTCTTGCCGCCCCATGGTGGGAGGCAGTCAAGATGAATTTCTATGTTACTTATTTAAATGGGAGAGGGACATGGCATCAAAAATCTGTGTGAATGAGCCCAGTTGTTGCTTTATCACTATTCCTTGGACACTAATCATTAGTTGCCCTTGTGAATACATTACTGAATGGAAAAATAAGTATATGGCTATGAATGACTCCTGGTGGTCTTTCTCTGGCAGAATGTACAGAATTGTACTCTTGCTGCTATGAAATTGCATTGTCCACAAGCTGCCCCTTTCTGAACGGAGTGCTGCATTACACCTTACTAAACCTATGACAAGTCTAGGAGTGGGAAAATGATGCATTACTTTGTTACAGATTTGCTACATCTTTAACATAGGGAATTCTTGAAATTAGTGTCATATAGACTCAATACTTGTCATAGGTTACTCTGTGCACAAGTTTATCCAACTCAAGCAAGTAACATTCAGAGAGGGAACTGGAGGGGGGGTAGCCCCAAGAATCCACTTGTCCCGGGCCTCGCAACTTCTTAATCCGACCCTGCCTATACTCTTGTGATTGACTCTCGTGCAGTCGATTTGATTACCCGTAAGCATTTCAGCATTGACGCTAAATAATTTGAGCCGCATCTGAAAGGTGAATTCACCTTTTTCCAACAGAGGCTACACAAACTGGGTTAAGAATTCCCTAGAACAAGTGAGATATGGAGCTCGAAGTAGCTTGGTGGAAAATATGACCCCCATAACCTCCATTTCATACATAGCATAATATAGAAGTTGCAGCGCCCTATACTGTAGAGCACCCCTTGTCGCCAAAAGAAAACTACTAGAGCAGTAATGAATGCATACTGTGCTATAACAAAAAAGTAAAACTGAGAATATCATTAATACATTATTCTGGATTATCTATCCCAATTTCAGAATACTCGCATTTGCCTCGAGAACCGCAACTTATTGATGCAAGGGTTGAAGTTACTCTATTATCATGCATCATTCTGTAAAACTGGCCAAGTCTTGGCCCCCCCCCCCCCTGAATACATTCAAAATTGCATATTCGCCCTTTCTGTCAGGCCATCGGGCTTCACAGGAAGGCATTTGGAAAACCTACGGATTTCATGGAGAGTGACCAAGACTCCGAGAGGTGGCGCTCCTGACGCGTCTGCGCGATGGGCTCAGCAGTCATCCGAATGGTCCAGAACCTCAGCGCTCCCTGCTTCCTCTTTCCGTTCTGCCATCGTCCGACTCGGCGTGGCGTGGCTCAGTGTCGGGCTACAACATAGAATTGTTCGTTCTTACCGCCTGGAACAGCTGAGAAAATGGTGCAAAAGAAGGTGAGAATGTTGCCGACTTTTGTCGAAGGTCTTATGTCAAGCCTCATCCTAGAAGGAGAAATCAAAATGGGCTAACTTCTATAAGGGAGAGAGGTAACGTTAGACCTATTTTGTTTGGGAAGGGGCACGTGTACCCCAAGTGAGTGATACCCGATTAATTAGCCTCATACTGGACCTTTTGACCTAGGATTTTGGCAAGACCTATTTATGATACCCCTATCGGCTTACATTCAGTGGCCTCATCAATCTTGTTCGTAATGACCTTTAGCTATCTTTAAGGTTAAGCCTAACCCTAAGCCCGCCTAAAGCGCTTGATAGCTTAGCAAAGAACCTCTAGCGGCCCATTCAGAAGGAATTTCAGAACGGTGGTTGTGCTGAAACTTGGGGTCTTGTTCATAGGCTATTGCTGGCAAAGTTCTCGAGCATAAAATTGTTCAATCCTTTAAAGCCACATTTATATGGAAGTGTTTATGAAAAGTAGTAGGGAAGGTTTTAGAATGGGACAGACTAACCCCACAAAATCATTAAACAGTAATTGCACGTGTGAATGTAAGCTTGTAGTTGAAGAGGGCACCTAAGCCAAAAGCCCACTCATTTTCTAAGCCAAAGCTAAAGCAGAGCCCTTAAAACATTGTCCAGTTTCTGTTAATTATATTCTTTAAATCACATTCATTAATTCTAGCCTGATCTTTTGCTCCAGCCAAATAATGGTTTCTACCATTTTTTTTAGGCTATTGTACGTCTTGTGAACACCATGTACACCCCGAGTTCGTTATGTGAACACCTACTATAAACCTATGTGTACACCTATCTTGTGTACCTCTGTACACCCGACGTGAACACCTTCCCGTTCCTGCCCATTACCCTACTACAGGGTTGTCGTGTGACGTAAATGACTTATGCCGAAATGCATGCGATAATTTTTATATGCAATGTCAGTCAATGGAATGGATGATACATTGATATTGGAAATATGCCAAGAACAAGAAAAAAAGGTGGTCATCTGGTGGTCGTAGTGGTGATAGCGAGTAGGAGGGTATGAGGAGGGAGTGGTATTATCGGAGATAATCTGCTGGAAGACTGTCATTGGTATCAGGTCAAGGATCGTCATGTCATGTCAATGTCAACCTTGTGTTGCTACTATTGCTATATGTGCAATACAGTCAACTCTCGTTAATCCGAATGCCAGTAATCCGGACTTTCCAGCAAAATACATATAATACAATAGAAAATAAAAGATTTCCCTTTTCTTTACTTAAGTCGGCATTCAGCTCCAGTAGAAATAAAAATTCCCGGCAGATAGCCTTGCACGGAAACCGTAAGAGAGCGCTGGGGAGGCACTTCAATATGGCGCATTTCATGGAAAATGGATAAGATCAAGGCTAGAAAATATATTCTAGGCCTCCTCCACCCATGCTTTATACTTAGTACATGGCTATAGTCACAAGGCGAAGACTGGGCTTAAAGGATGGGTGTACACAGGGTGTACATGGTGTTCACAAGATGTACAATAGCCTTTTTTTTAACTATCAATTTCATGTAGTAGAAGAGACAAAACATTTCTGCCTTGTTGTATGTACCTTGTCAGAAAAAAATAGTTGTGAGGACAGGAATTAGGCATATTTTCAGTTTTTTTAAATTTATTTAGGCTGCATATATCAGGACAATTACAACTGAAATTTCATTTCTGGTCATATTTGTATGCAAGAACACAGGATTTATGAGCTGTTTTTAACCTTGTTGATTTGAGTTTACCTTTGCCTGGGAGAGCCATTTGGTGTTAATGCATGAGCCTTGTTTATTCATGGAACTGTTGCAATGCCAGTTTCATTTACAGTTCACACTATGAGCCTAAGACTGTGGGACTTTGCACTTTATAGGTGAAAGGAAAGAAGGGGAAGAAGAAGATAGCAGCTGCTCCTCTTCCTATGAGCAAGAAGCCTGAGCTGAAGAAGACTGTGAATCCCTTGTTTGAAAAGAGACCTAAGAATTTTGGGATTGGTTAGTTCATTGTGTCCTCTTGACTGCCAGATATGCTGGTACACATTTCTTTGCATTTTTTTCATGGCTTTGCATTGTTTTATCTCCAATCCAGGTCAAGATATCCAGCCCAAGAGAGATTTGACCCGCTTTGTGAAATGGCCCAGGTACATCAGGCTTCAGAGGCAGCGAACTGTCCTGACTAACCGTCTCAAGATTCCCCCTCCCATCAATCAGTTTACCCAAGCTCTTGATCGACAGACAGGTGAGGGCACTGAAGCCCCTATTAGGGCAATGTGGTGCCAGTATTATGCACTGAAGCTCTTGAGCAGCATGCTCTTGAGCAATGTGGTGCAAGGATGCCTGCATTCTTTAGGCCCATTTACCAGCAGTTGGTAAGTCATCATTAGAGATTGAAGATTCCAATTTGCTGATGATGATGTATTTGCTATCAGATACATCAAAAGCTTGAAGAAAGCTCATCTACCACCATTCTGTAATGTCCTGAGGCATTCGCTGTGACTCCATTCAGTGAAGTGACAGCTGTTGACTGATTTACTTTTCTAATGAATTGTTGATTATTTTTTTATGCCTTCTTTGTTAGCTGTTTCACTCTTCAAGCTTTTGGACAAGTACAGGCCTGAAACAAAGCAGGCTCGAAAACAGAGGCTTCGGGAACAAGCTGAAGCACGTGCAAAGGGGGGTCAGGAAGATAAGCCAACCAGAAGGCCTGTTGTGAGGCAGGGTTGCAACACTGTGACTTCCCTTGTTGAGCAGAAGAAGGCACAGTTGGTTGTGATTGCACATGATGTGGATCCTGTGGAGGTGAGCTTGGATTTAGAGAATGTATGTAATTTGGATGTGGGAGGGAAAAGGAACAGATAATTGTCTGAGAGGAATGATGAATTTATCACAAAATTGTGAGCACCCTATGCCAGAAGTCTTACCTTGGCCAGTGTATGTATTGATCAATACATGGAAGGTACAGGAATGTTAAGATTCTTCTGTTCTTGGCATTGGATGTGGGATGGGTTGAGCAGTGGAGCCTTGAACCTGAGGCAAAAAAATTGAAATTTCCTGGGAAGGATATGCAAGTGGACTAAGCAGGCTGCCCGCCTGCGCATCTCCGTACCTGTGAACCTCGTTCACAAGGGTTTTCCTAGCCTGCAGTTGAGTATTGTGAATTGAAGTCTTGGTACAATGTAGTTACTAGGTTGTTGAGATTCCTTGTATAGGGTGAAGATTGGTTCAACTGTGTTGTAATTGCCCCTGCAGGTCATGTTAGAGATTCAGATATCTAGAGAAAGAAATTTTTTTGGAAAGATTAGAAGGCAAGGAACAGCAGGACTCGTGGTAATAAGTAGCTGCCATATTGCATGAAGACTGGTTTTTTTTATTTACATGTTCAGAAGGGGAATGCTCAGATTTCCTTAGGGTGGACAATGTTTTGGACCTCTTTGGAGTACCCTCAAAACTAAGGATCATGAAACAAACTAAACCACTGGCCATAAGTATGCTTTAATTATTTCATTAACATCAAGTATTTATGCATTGAGAGTGAAAATTAAAATTGATCTACACCTGGAAGGTGCATTGATTGAAAAAATATGCCCCTTGCCTTATCACCTGATCATTTTCTTATTTAGTTGGTGCTCTTCCTACCTGCTCTGTGTCGCAAGATGGGAGTCCCTTACTGCATTGTGAAGGGGAAAGCTCGACTGGGACAAGTGGTCCATCGCAAGACCTGCACTTCCCTTGCCTTTACACAGGTTAAGATTTTTCTTAGTTAATGCCTCATATGCCTAAAGGAACATGCTATGATGTAAACTTTTGAATTCCTTCACCTGAATCCATGATGACTAAAAAAAATTGAGCTTTTTAATTCTGAGCATGCACCAGCATTGTAAGACATACTGTATTTAAAAAAATGTGATTAGTAGATGTATGAAAAAGTATTTGTTCATTCCCTAGGTTAATCCAGAAGATCGAACTCTGCTGAACAAGGTCGTAGAAGCAGTGAAGACCAACTTCAACGATCGGTTTGATGAGATTCGCCGACACTGGGGTGGTGGCCAGATTGGCAACAAGTCTGCTGCCAAAATTGCCAAGTTGGAGAAGGCAAAGGCCAAGGAAATTGCCCAGAAAGTTGGTTAAAATCCCCTTCTCACTCCAAGTGATGTATGAATTATTCTCATTGAAGAGAATGAAGAATAAAATATCATTACACTTGAGGGTTCTTTCTTCCTCACATCATCTTAAAGATAGTGGTGAAACTTGAAAGAAATTGAAGTCATGAAAATTTCATGAAAGTTGGAGAAATGCTCCCTCCATTCTTATTGCCTTTGTAAAGAAAAGTTTAAGGGTGGATTCTTGTACTATCATTAAGGCAAAGGAGCTTTTAGATATCAAAAGGCCTTTATCTGTGAAGTGCAAGTGAAGACCAATAAAAGCATTATTGAATGCAAGATGGGTGTTAAAGTGAGCTATGCTCTGAAGAACAAAGCATGGGAGAGGGTGGCATTCTAGCTTGCAGCCCAGTTTCCATGAGTCATCCTTAGGGAAAGAATGATATGTGGTGCTAAAAAAAGGAAGCTGATGCAAGATCCAAGTACTCCTGAAAATCCAACAAGCTTACAGAAGTCCACTTTAAGCCGATCATATTCTACAGGGCATGGGAGTGTCACCCATCGAGGTCTCAAATTTGCTAGGGCTATTGCAACTTGATGAATGCATGCATTCACAGCTGATTTTTAGAGGCAAATTCAATCCCCAGCACCTCATGAAATGAGCTCATGAGTAAGTGCAATGCGATTAAAATTTGTAATTAGGGATGCACATCCGATCTTTGTCGCTTTTGGCTAAGGTGTGAAGTCAGGAGCTGGGTAATTTCCACGACTGTCTCCTTGAATTGAAATCAATGTTTCAATGCAAAATCATCCAGAGTACATATTGGATCGCTACGGTCTGCCAGACTTCAAGCTACACTATGATGATTGCCAGCTCTCATAATAGACGATGTGAAGATCATGCAGTTGTCCCAGCATCTCCATTTTGACAAAATGCCAAAATGTTTTTAACTGAGCCCCAAGACCACCTTTAAAATCATGATATAAAAGGGCTTTTCGTGTAAAAGCTTGTACAAAAATCAAATTTAGCTAAAAGGAGTGATTAAAAGCCCATTAGCAGGTAAAAGAACCAGCCTAATTTTTAAAAACCCATTTTTCAGTCATTAGTTGGGGTTCCTGGTGGCAAATGAGGTGATGTAAGGTAATTGCTTTGGATCAGGTCTGATTTAGAGTCCTTCATGATGAACCTCAATTTTTTTGCCATAGTCTCATGCAGGAAGAGGTTGGAGGCCAAAACTAAGGGGTGATGGGCTGACATGCTCATTTTATGCACTGTATTTGCTTGAAGTAATAGAGATGTGCAATAGGATGCTTAATTGCTGGTGATAAGACCTAGTTGGTCTTGACTTTCAGTACCTGTAGTGGAACTAATAGGACAGGGATTCTGAAAGTGCAGTCTGCATACTGAAAGCAGCACACAAAGTGCCTTAGTGAACATCCACTTTGTACACCCCTGAAATAAAGGATCCAGACTTGGGGTATTGAGAGATTATGAAAGTAGCTTCTGGTAAAGATTGTGGCGAAATCATTTACCAAGTGTTTGCTCTGTCTTTGCATGAGTTTATCATTTATGGAATTGGAAAAATTCTCATCTAGCCTTTTAATGACTGGAATAGGCATTGCTTCATTACTGAAAGCCCAATAACCCCTTCGCCAGCCTTCCAGTTTTCTCTTGTTTTCTTCATTGGATGGTTCACTGCCCATACAGAAAAAGTTTCAACATGTTGAAATTGAAACCGGTGAATCAACGGTGATTCACCGGTGAATTACTGTTGAATCACTGGTTTTCAACGTCTATTCAACAGGGGTTCAACACTATTCAACATTGAGTTATAATTATTATAATATATTATGAATAATGTATTTAAAGCAAAATTTATGGAAATATACAGTGAAAAGTGATTTCAACAACGAAATGAAGATGAAGCAATATCAATAATGGAAATACTCTGCTGTGATTCTCGTCTTATATGATAGGTGTAACATTTGCCGAACTACTGACACCGGGAGAGACTGACTTGCAGTCTTGACGGCTACCGAGAGATGTGGGGAATAGCATAGTTCAACCGCGTCTCACAAGGATAACAAAGACAAGCGCGAAGGTGCTTGGGGGAATTTTCCCCTAAGCATCAGATAAATATCGGGGATTCCCCTCTTTTTTCCCCTCTCCCAAGCTGTCAGAGGACAGTTCCTTTTTTTTTTTTTTCAACACCCGCTGTTGATTCACCGGTGAATCAACGTTAATTCAACGTTGAAACACATTTCACCGGTGATTCACCGTTGAATCAACGGTGAATAACCGGTGAGATTTTTGTACGGGTGCTAGGCCTATTAGCAAAAGAAAAGCTGGCCAAGTCAAGCCAGAGGAAGAGTTTCATATGCTTTTTGCTACACATAATGCATACAAAGTGCTGATAACTTATAACTAGGACTTTACCGGTGGCCACATTTGGCGGGTGGGCCGATGGCCGATTTTTTCCTCATAACCATCGGCCGGTGCCGTTGCCAATTGTGGCCTTTAGAAGAAAACGAATATAAATTTAAATAGGCCTAATTGAAAGCAATATGATACTTATCAGTAGACCGCTCTGAAACGATAGAGAGCACTTTTGGCCCTGTCCAATCTGTCTGTCTCTTTATGAGGCTGTCAGTGGTTCGCTTGGTACCCATTGCTGCAGTCGAGAGCAATTAGTGACACATCCCATGCAAAAGCATAGCGTAAACGGAGATGCAATGATTTTCCGTTCTTTACCGCAACTTCCTTCCGTAGGGTTCCTATAATACGGCTATAACATAATCTGATCGATGTTTTTGTCAGGGAGAGAGTGGCTTTCAGTGAGACTGGTGAGCCGGCGCCTAGCCGCGTTCACATCCTCACGTAATTTTTTTTTTTTTTGCTTTGCCCTTCCTTTTGGCACCGTTGCCATGGGCCGACTCCCGATAGTGCAACACCGGCGGCCGATACCAGAGTTAGTCGATTCATCAGTACAGCCTTACTCACATCTAACCAAATTACAAAGCACATTGAGGTTAGAATAAATACCAGTAGATCTATTGTCCAGATCAGGACAGTTTCTAGGCGTGTTGGCGCCCAGGGCAAGAAGTTCCAATGGCGCCCCCCCCCCCTCCCCTTCCCCCTTACCCCGCTGACGCCTCGGGCGATCGCCCGCCCCTAGAAACGGCCCTGGTCCAGATCCTGAAAGATGTGTCCATGGAACAGAGAACATAGAAAGAGTGCCTGCAACTTTGTAACCATATTGGTCACTGCTAAAAGCTAATGACCCCAATACCTCAGTTTAGGATGACTGAGATCAATCAGCAACCCTCTAACTTGCTGGAAGTTCATGGAGCTTCATCAAAAGCTTGACATCCCCACCAGCTGAGCTTGACTCTGGCCCAGGCGAGTTGAGAGATAAGATACTGTTCTTGAAGCTTCTGGGAAGACCTGTGTAACTGGACATGTGCATGTAGGCATATCTAGGAGTACAGTTTCTGATTGCAGTGACATATGTCATGGCGTTATAAAAAAAATTCGGTGATCGTTTCGTGACGTATGGTGAAGCTAAAGCGAATTCGGTGATGAATAAAATGTATAGCATATTTTCCGTGGAACTAAAGTGTAACGATTGTATCATCAATTGTGACGCCGTCGATAGACTAGCACATTCCTTTGGATTCTTCCTTATTCATGAAAAACATATCCTGAGCTTCACTCGGGAACATTATAAATGTAGATTTTCACTCGATTGGAAGATATCTGCAATGACCGTCGATCCTCGTTTGATTTTGCAAAAGAATTGAAGTGTCAAAGGTGTTCATCGATAACATTTCAGTAAGTACAATTTGGTCCTCCAATGTGAATCGTTAAAAAAGTCCCTCGTGACGACTCCGTATGACTAGAGAGAAAACAATATTTTTTTTGCTGGGTAGCAAGAGTAAGCTTTAAAAAGTAAAAATGATTAAAACCTGGATGCATCTCAGGCTCGTAGTCGGAAGTTGCCCCATTACCCTTTATGCCCTGTGGTTTTCTGAATCCAAAACATGGATATCGAACAATGTGATCTCATCACAGTCGTAAAAAGATTGAAATATCTCTACTACCCCCCCAACAGAAAATAGCGATGGAATTTCCTTGTCATGTCACATGAAAGAGCGACTCTTCTTGATTTCTTTTACTGTTCGTTGTATGAATTAGACCAAGCGTGATTCTCATGGTTTTATTGAGATGTACAAATATACAATCGCAATCCACGACGCCATGAAACACAGTGAAACATGGCATGTGGTGTGGGGAACGGATATTTAGGGCTGTGGGCGGAAGTGTTCCATGGAAAGAAGCGTCTTCACACACGAAAGAGAATCACATCGAACCCTTCAAGCGATGGAGAGCGACGACTCGCTCGGCCTCGCGGATCCCGGAGAGGAAGGCCCCGTGCATGGTGGAGAAAAATTGCGGATGGGTCGCTTCGCCCGCAAAGAGGAGGATCGGGTCCTGGGCGCTGGGCAGGGGCTCTCCCAGAGTCAACGCGTCTTCTCGCATCGACTGTGTCGAGACGTACGAGTACGAGCCGCGGAAGCGGGGGTTCGACATCCATTTCGTGCGGTGGAGCAGTTTCGGCGGGTCCAGCGAGGGGTTCCCCGTGAATTCCCTCAGGAGCCGAGTGCATTTGTCCTTGACCACGTCGTCGGGTTCCGTTTCCATCCGGATGGCTGCGTCGCCGGCTAGCCAGAGCGTCATCAGAGGTTTCTTCCCGTGATGTTCCATGTCCAAACTCGAGACGTGATGGATCCAGTCATCGGAGGGTGCAGACGCGTTTTGACAGAGTACGATGTGATGATCGTCTGCGCTCCAAAATGGCTTCTCGAATTCCAGGAAGATCTTGTTCACCGTTCCGAATCCCAACCTCTCGATGGCTTGCAGCTTCTCGTTCGGCAACTGCGGCTGGAAGAGATCGGTGCCGTTTTTCAGAACCCCCAAGCTGACCGTGACGATGACGTGATCGGCATCGTAGCGTTTCCCCGCCTCCGTTTCCACGACCGCTCGATGGCTCCCACCGTCCCAGCCGATCTTGGCGACCGGCTCTCCAAGTTTGAACATGTCCGGAAAATGCAGGGACACGAGGTACCTGATGATATCGGACATGGGCTTGGCCGTCGTCATGTCCCCGCCTGTCAGCTCCTGGTAGGATGTGAATTCCATCGTCGAGGCTTTCTCTAATTCCGCCCCCACGTCCAATTGCTCCAAGTTTTTCAACGCATTCCACACGAGCTGGAAGTCTCGAGAATCGGATTCCGAATCGGAATGCGCATCGCGGAGGAATCGATTCAAGTGCCTCACGACGGGAACGGGATTGTCTTCGTCCATTTTCTCGAGGGCCTCAGCGAAGAGGCGAGTGGCATTGCCGACGACGTCCTCGTCGATGTATCTGGCATCGAAGGCGAGGAACTTGTCCGACTGCACCCATTGCTCCTGCGTCACCCTCTTGGGAGGCGAAGAGAAGAGCTGCAATCGATTGGCCAGGTGATAGATGGGATTGTTGAGCGACCCTCCGTGGACGAAAGTGGCCCCCATCTCCACCTTCTCCCCGCCGAACGTCCTCGTGTCCGTCTGGACCCGACCCCCGGCCCTGCTCCCCCGACGGACGATGTCAGTTCCACGAGAGTCCGACCCTCCACGAGAAACACGACTGACCTACCTGTCGGTCGCCTCCAGGACGACGACGTTCCCGATGCCATTCCTGGCGAGATGCTCCGCGGCCGAGAGACCCGCGAGCCCACCTCCGACGATCACCACCTTGAAATTCCTCCGCCCCGGCGCATCCGTCCCGTCCGCGTCCCCCGCGCTCAAGCTCCACATCACCCTTCGAACACATCGGGGGTTGGAGCATTAACTCGATTTCGAATTCATTTCATCCGACGAAAGGAGAGGAATCGACACAGGAAGCCAAAATCGCGCAGGGCTGTCACAGGGACGATGCGCATAAAAATGGTTATCAAACGTGATCGGTGGTGCCACCGTGACTTAACGTCTCACTAATCGCAGCGAATTTTCGATCTGTGCTCATTCAGCGTCCAGAATTGCATAGCGAATTATTTTGTTCTGAGGAACTGCAATGGTGGGCACAAAGTCCCTTTGCAGTGAAATTACAGGATATTTCTCAATTAGGTCGCAATTTTGAACAATTATATCTCTGAAATGAATTGAGCTGTGAATACGAAACAAAGTGCATTCTCTTGAAGAGCAACGGAAGTTTTCTTTCTCGTGGTTAGTAGTCCTTACTCCCGCTAATAGCGCTGACAACAGTCGTGACGTGAGATGGCTGATTTCACAGGAAGCGAGCGCGCTGCATGCGTGTTATGGTTCAATGAGACAAAGTCTGAAACTGTTGTGCATCGTCTTTTTCGATAGCAGTGTGAAAATCCACCTCTTTCACGTAAGTCAATCGGAAACTGGGATACACACTGTTGCAGCTGTTGCCACGGTTAACGCCGACATGCTTACTCGTGTGTGGGAGGAACTCTTGTACAAATGGGACATTGTCGTGTTAAGCGAGGATACCGCGTAGAACATTTGTGAAAAATGTAATGGGAAAAAATATCAGGTCTTTAGTAAAAAAAAAAAAAGCACTTTGATATCATTGTTCAAAATTGCAACTTAATTTTAAAAGACTCTATACAGCACATCGGTATGTCGCCCTCCGTTCTCGGCACATTTTTTTTTTTTTTTATCCGTGTCCATGTTCTCTTAGGTATTTTCTTCCACGTTCAAGGCTGAATATCATAAAAGCAGTCCCCGATGGCTATTTTTTGGTCCTCGACGTTTGGCCGTAGTTGGGAAATCTTCACAATGCCTCAATGTGAATTATCGCTTGTTGCCGAGCCTGGGCTTCGAGATTGCCATGCCGTATCTGACCCTCGTCCGATCACATCGGAAGTCGCGTAAAGTTCCTTAGCACGAAAAACAATGTTCTTTAACGATATGTTTTTTTTGTTGTTCAATTTTGCATTTTATGCTCTGGCAGTTTGAGAATATCTTAACAACACATTCAGATACGGCATGGCCACCTCGAAGCCCAGACTCGGCAACAAGCGATAATTCACTTTGGGGCATTCCGAAGATTTCCCAACTGCGGCTGACAGATGTCGAGGACCTGAAAACAGCCATCGGGGACTGCTTTTAATGATATTCAGCCTTCAACGCGGAAGAAAATGCCTAAGAGAACATGGACACGAACGAAACAATGCGCTGAGAACGGAGGGCGACATACAGATGCGCCGGAATTTCACTGGGAAGGGACTCCGTGCCCATCCCGTACTGTTCGGCACTGCGTCTGTGAGTCTTCTGACGAACACAAAATCCGTTTAACCGCTTTCTGAGACCAGAGGGTTTTTCGACTCGCCGATATGTGAATCATGGGGGAATGCCGGTTGCGTGAGTCATGTGTGAATCAGCAAGATCTCCCTTCGAGGTCACGACGATTCGCATACGATGCATCAATAACCTAACCGTGCGGGGAATGATCTTCGATCGACGAAATCGTGCTTCCGTGAACTCGCGTTGTTGGGGTTGGCTGTTGGTCTCGGAATGCGGTTATTTGGATTTTTTTTTTACTTGTCAGAAGAATGACAGATGCAGGGTCGAACCGTACGAGTACATTGCGGTTTCTCCGAAGGAATTCGTTACGGATCATAACTGAATTATTATGGATGATAACTGCAGCATGTTCGATCGCGCGATCCCCGGGTGAAACCCCTCTGCGATTTCGGCTTCCTGTGTCGTACCGTTTCTGACTCCTGTGGACTCATCAGTTATATATGTAGGGTGTCCGTAAAGTTACTTCCCTATTTCGAAAGGCGCCGTCTCCATTACGGAGAGGCCTAGAAGCTTCACATTCGGATCAGATGATGTACAGCCGATGGGATTTAGGATGGGCAAGTTTCCAAAAATTTCCAAAAAGTTTCTGGATGTCACCACCGGGGCGGCGCTGTGCCGGCCAGAGACACGTGTCCCTCCGCACTTTCGGAGACGCGTCTCTTCTCCGACGTACGGTCCAGGACCGTGTGATCTGCTCTCCCACGGGCCTGGCCGCCGAGGTCGCAGGATCTTGCACCTGCGGGCTTGTGGCTGGGGAGTTTCCTGAGTTCTGGCTGTGGGGTTTGCAGCGGCCGTCCTGCGAACTCGAGTGGAGCTCAAGGAATGCATAGCGGCGTCATGCTGCCCCAGATTCTGACATCGTCGTCGGACTAATTACGTTCTGTCCGTCTACCACTTCATTACATGGATGGAGGCGGTGGTGGTGGCAGGGGGTGGTTGTAGGGGGTGGCCACATCGAATGCCTGCAGGCTTGGTCGGGCCATCCACGCTGGTATTGGTGTATGTGCCGACTTTGGGCTGTGCGTTTGGTCGGTTAACCCTCATCCGGGCAAGCTTTTTTACAACCTATTCCGGGCAAGGTGAGTCTGTCAGACTCACATGTAAAATAAGGCCGTTTGCTGCGGTTACGGTATGTATTTCTTCGTCTCCGAAAGTGCGGAGGGACACGTGTCTCTGGCCGGCACAGCGCCGCCCTGGTGGTGATTTCCAGAAACTTTTTGCAAACCTTTGGATACTTGGTTATCATAAATCCCATTGGCTGTACATCATATGTGCCGAATATGAAATTTCTAGGCCGCTCCGTAATGGAGATAGGGCCTTTTGAAATAGGGAAGAAACTTTATGGACCGCCAAAAAAAAAAAGCAGGACCAAGAAGGAGTCGGGCGATCTTGAGGAAATTCGGTAAATAAGCTCATACTAGCATACTATGAAATTGATTAGAATCTCAAGTCTGTGGGAGGAATATTAATGGGGAAAACATACCAATTAATGCAATTTCAGTAGCAGCTATGGAGTCATACTAATTGCCCGAAACGGTTACCTCGAAGGTTTTTACTGACGAAACGTGGGAGGAAAACTCCTAGAGATGTGCAGTATCCCAAGCAGCATGTTCACGTAAACAAGATATCAATTTTTTGGCAAATAATGTAAAATTCTTGCGATTTTCATGGAAATGACACCACGTTTACATAAAATTTACGGCACCAAAGTGTATGTGTATTTTACATAAACTAGACATGACTTCATCTGGCGTGAAGTACACGATATCAAGTTTATGCAAAATCAACACCACACCATCCATATGAAACTTTAGCTGACTCTCCCGCAGTTGCAGTACCAAGAGTCCTCACTAGATGGAACCCTTGTTCCCTGCATCCTACAAATGCTGTTAAGTACCTGCTTACCTGATATAGTATCAGGTTTTCCTACCATCCTTCCACTTTTTATTGTGCAATTCATAAAAATATATGTGGAAAGCATGGAATAATTATATTTTTTTAATTACAATATATGACTCAGGGAATCATTAAATGTTAAGTTTGGGATTGCAGCAAGTGCGCGGGAATAGGGAAGAGAGTCCCTAAAATTTTCCACTTCCACTCCTAGGGCTCTGCGTTGAGTGCGGGAGGAGGGAGCAGTAGGTTATCTAGGTACTCTTGAGTACTTGTGAGGATCAGTACATGTGTACTCGTCCGAGTAGCCTAGAGTTCCAAGGAATGGGAGAAGTATAATGATATTAACTCCCGTCAAAAGTAGCAATTTGCTCATGAAAATTCGCATGAATGTTAGAGGAAAATAAAATCAATTTTACGTAAAATTTACGTTAATTTTATAACACCGTTTGCGTATCACAGAGGTGACATTTCTGCAAACATGTTGACAATATCTCGATGATGGTTTGCGTTAAAAAAAAAAGATATAAAATGGACAAAAAATCTACAGTAATTTTACATAAAATATTTACATAAACATGCAGCTTGGGATACGATGCACTAGAGTGCGGGAGTTTCGTCACGATCGCCCTGAATGCACCGAGACGCGCGTTGGCTCGGCAGCCGTTTTTGGAGTGTCGGCTTTGGGCGGGACTTTTGTTGAGCGCAGTGTTGTCCGATGGTGAGGCTTTGTGCCAGGGGAAATGCATGATGGATCCGGTAAATAAAGCTGGATTGCGGGATAGTGCTCTGTTTCAAAAATCCACTCTTAGTTAATTATTGCAAGCATAAACGCGAATCGAATGTCCCAGAATTATATTTAAAAAAAACTGAGCAAGTTCGCAAACTTCTTCCAGCTTTCCAGTGAAACCGATGTAAACTTCCAGAACGGGAACATCGCGACAAATTTTTTTTTTTTCCACATGTCACATTTCGGGTGAGATCCACGATTCCCGAAATCGTCTCGCTTACCTGGGAAGTTGACTCAGGGCAACGCTGGCACGTTGCACGCGAGAACTTAAAGTCTTCGGTGCGTCCGGTCGCCCATTGACGTGGCACGAGGTTCATCGCGACCGGTTCCTGGCGGTTTTTATTTTTTTCATTCGTTGCGGGTGATCGCGCTTGCAGGGGGTTCTCATGATCTGCTTTTTGCGTCGGAACGAATTTAGTTCGAGGAAACTTTGACCGCAGGCTCCCGCGAAACCGGGCGACTTCGGTCGGAGACCGACTGACGATCGCCGTCGTCACTTTCGCCCGGTTTCGTCCGCTTTCGCGAAAGAGAACGCAAGAGGCGGGAAATTCGCGACGGGCTTCTTCGCTGGAACGTCTAACACGGGCGGTTTCGCGAAACGAAAAAAAAAAATCTAAAATGAACTTCAAGTTACCTTCGAGTCGCAAAAACGGGGGGCACTCGCTCTGCAACTTCCACCGGGTGAATAAAAAAAAGTACTAAGAGATTCCCCCCGCCCCCGCCCCCGCCCCCGCCCCCCGCCGACTCCCTTCGCTTTCTCTCCTGCAGTTCGAAACGCGATCACGTGGATGTCGAATCGCGTCATCGCGTCGCGCGGGGCCGAGATCCAAATCTGGGGCTTTCGAGTCGATCGATCCCGATTTTCGTCGCGATCGTCGATGGATAGGGCGAGTGGGAATAAATCCGCACCGGATTTGTTCTCGGTGTTCTCGGATCCGCTTGCAGTCTCGTTTCTTCGCTTCGTGCAGTTCGAAACGTTCCGGCCGGATGAGAGAGAGAGAGAGAAGCTGGCGTGCAACTCACCAGAGGGCAGAGAGGAAAGATCGGTGCCACATGTCGACTGGCTCTGACGACAGTCGAAGGTCGACAGGTCGAGGAGATGCGAGGCTCGTCCTTATAAAGGATCGGGGTGGATCCTTTTTTTTTTTTTTTTTTTTTTTTTTTTTTTTTTTTTTNTGCGAACTTGCTCAGTTTTTTTTAAATATAATTCTGGGACATTCGATTCGCGTTTATGCTTGCAATAATTAACTAAGAGTGGATTTTTGAAACAGAGCACTATCCCGCAATCCAGCTTTATTTACCGGATCCATCATGCATTTCCCCTGGCACAAAGCCTCACCATCGGACAACACTGCGCTCAACAAAAGTCCCGCCCAAAGCCGACACTCCGAAAACGGCTGCCGAGCCAACGCGCGTCTTAACCCGTGCGGTTCACGCGGTTCGGAAGTGGAAACGAGTCGGTCGAAAGGCTTGGGTGTGGCGAAATCGGCCAAAAAGAGAGGATGCCATTCTCTCCTTTGGGCATTCTCTCTCTCTCTCTCTCTCTCTCTCTCCCCAGTGCCGATCGCTTTTGGCCTCATTCGCCCCATTCATCCGTTCTCCATTCATTCGCACTCGCCGACCTGAAAGTATGCCTTTGAAGGCTGATGGTAACGATGATGAGTCCTTCCCCCGGATGGTAACGATGATGAGTCCATTCCGGGGGCCACCATTGCAGCCAGACAGGCCTCTCCGCAAAAGGATTTTCCAGCCGTGCCCTTTCTATATTCGGATGGTTTCTGTTCCGACTGGCCTTGGCTGTCTGGCCTTGGCTGTCTGGCCTTGGCTGTCCTTAATCCCTTGCTTGGACGAGCAGTCGGGTTGGCTGGCCCGAGAGAGAGAGCTATCCGATGACAAAAAAGGACGGGGTGGGGCGACCGAAGGAGCTGCCTCGGGTCCTCGAGCATTTTTTTGGTCAGGTGGCACGCGGATTCTTTCGTGCTTCTGACGCCAGGGTCGTCTCCTTCGTCCAGGAAAGGCGAAGGCGGGGCCGAGTCGTCCTGCCTTTTCGGGACTCGTGTCTCCAGGTGGTAAGGTGCCCGGGTGTTCGAAGGCTAGACCGATCCGAGTCGAGGTTGACAACGTCGAGGAATGAGACAAACTCGTCTTTAAACTGATTCTTGGCATGCTCCAAGTGAAATTCTCCCCGAAAAACAACTCGAAAGTAACTTTTTTTTCCCGCTGCATATCTAAGTGGATTCTCGGAATGGATTCTTGACTCCCATCTTCCGGCTACGGTGGCAATAACGCTGGAAGCCAGTGAAGACGGGGAAACGTTTAACGCCATTCTCGGACCCAATCCGCTACGAACAATGTCGGATTCGATCCCCTTGAACGGTGCTTTTGGATCACGAGATTTTTCTTTTCTTTCGTCTCTCGAAGGGCGCCGTCTCCGTGCCGGTGCAGAGGAGTCGTGGTGCTGTCCGTGATTGGGCGGTGTCGCCTTTTAGCCCGGTTTCGTGTGGTTCTTGAGGTTTTTTTTTTTTTTTTCGCTGCGGGTGCATGTTAGCGGTTTATCAGCGCTGTCACGGTTTTGTGGACGCTATGCGTGCACAAAACCGTGACCTTTCCAGCTAAGCCAGACATATTTTAGGGAGATTTTTAAAACGATAACATTGCTGAATTTCCAGAACTGATGGATTGTCAACAGCAGCCATTTCCATATATAAAAAAAAGTATCTCCGTTGCAAGACCACGAATCTTCAGAAATGGAGAACGTCAAGGAACATACCGCCGGTGCACACGGACCCGATCAGTGTTCGACGACAAGACGGCCAGGCTCCACCCGCGACGCCAAGATCCTCAGTGACGCAGCGAAAGCTCGACTCGAAGGCACCCCCCCCCCCCCCCTCCCCCCCTCTCCCCGCTGGAGTGTCTCGGTCGTGCCCGTCCGCCGTATCTAATCGCGGCGATGGTGGATCTGTTGACTCCGGCCGGGAGGTTCAGCTTTCGTCGTTCGATAAGAGCTTCATCGAGGGTTCCCTTGGAGTGTTTGGAGATGCACCTTCCAGGGCTTTTTGTCGATGCACTGCTGGAAAATTTGCTTCTATCTTCCGTCCTGGTCTCCGTGGCGACGGTTCTTCGGCTTTTTCGCAGACGAACTTTAAGTAAAGTGGTTTCGATCTTGGGTCGACAGGAAGCGTCACGATTCGATTTCCGAGGGGCACCCAGAAAACTTTTAATCGCGTTTAATGCTTGGTTGAGAGCGTCCGCAGAAATTCATCAGATTCTCGACGGTGCATGCTACAGATAAACACATTCGCAAACGAAGGGTGACATGCACCACACCCATTTAACTTTAAACTGATCTGGTTTCATAATGGGCGTCTATGAGAATAAGATGATCTCTGTCAGATTCCCGCAGAGGATCATCGTGAGATGAGATTGATTTAAGTTAAACAAATCTGGTGCATGTCCGATTTGTACCTAAAATTGAAATGCCCTATTTCGAAACCTTTCTTCATTCTTGATCGATCATGATAGGCTCTTAGTCCTATACTGTACAGGCATTCCGATAAATTAGCAAATAGTTGCCAGATGAACTCGGCGAGAAGAACTTGACCTTCTCGCCGTCTAAACCATACATAAGCCATTTCGACACATCACCTGATCTGCCGAGGTTTTTCCTTTCCCTTCTGGGTCGCACTAGGTCCCACGCGAGATTCACGGGGGATGTCAGCCGACGAGCCTCCAGGGGGTTCGAGGTTCCGCGATCCGTCGATGAGAGACGCGCACACACTCGCCGCGTTTACACAGATGGTTGAGAGGGCAAATATGATCGTATCGGAGGAGCAGCGTTTATTGCGCCGCCTTCGGGCTGTGGCAGAAAGCTTCAAGTCTTCGATAGTCTACTTTTTTAACTGTCGGCCAACAGTGGAAATTTTATGTTCATCGACAAAAAAAAATTCCAGGATGTTTAAGTCAATTTTCTCGAATTCTAAAGCCTCCCAGCTCTCAAATGAAACTTCCAAAAGTTCAATCCTTTCGAGTTTTTTAGTGGCAATTTTATATTCTTTCGGTGGTTTCCAGATGATTATTTATGTTTTAGATCCCATTTCAATGGATTCTATTCCATGCAGCACTTCATGGAATGATTTCAACGATAGCGTTGCGCGAGATTGTTCCACTTCCAAATGTCCTGTTGAGTTCCCTACTTCCTGGTCAATACACTAAATCCCGGAAAGGTCTCTCGTTGACGCATGGGAGGAGTGAACATAGGGTTAGTGCCGGATGCTGTCACACATATACCCTCAAGAGCTCACCATAAAATTGAAAAACTTCATATTCACGAGAGATCAATCAAAGCGATCACTTTTACTACTCTCCGTTTAATCCATGGAAAATTCTTTGACCAAGTGTATCGACTTCATCTGGCTTCGTTTCACAGTGGTGAATAAAATACCTCCGAGATCATTGATTACATTTCCTGGGAAATTTCTGGTGTTCCAGCACCAGCGCGTGCATTTGTCATCTGCTCTGAAATTGCTTCACTTGCCACGAGTTCTTAATCGGGATGTTTCTCTTCAAAGGTGTTTCGCCGTGAAAATTATGGCCTTGAAATGGGTCAGAAGCCTTGAGGTGTTTCAAGGACTTCAATTTAATTAGTATTCAAATTATACAGCAGGTCTTTTTACACTGCAAGAACCTCACAAGATCTCGACCGCATTTTCACGCTTGTTGCAAAGTAACTTGATGCCACATCAGAGCATCTGTACCCTTCTGCGAGTGAATATTCTTTGTTGGGCGCCGAAACATTCTATGATGATGTTGAGATGGAAGTGGGTCAGAACATCGCCGCCAAAAAGGCGAAAAATCGAGAATTTCTTTCACTTCAACGCTTATCATGTATAATACTGTATGCTTGCACGAATCCAACATCGGTGTACCAATTTAGTTTCATACGACCGATGGCTTCGGGAATTCCAACGTTCAGTGATTTACGTCGAAGGATATGGTTAGCGGGAAGAACTTCAGTTATGTCAGTTATAGTTCGCGCTCCCATCGATTCGAAAGTACAATATTCTCAAGTGACCAACCTGGGGGTAGGAACCTCATCCTGAAGCAAAGCCTACCAATAAGAAAAGGGGTCTAAGGAGACCTGGAGCTGGAAAGTAGAACTTGGGATTCCTTCAGAAGGTAATGGCTTTGCGAGGAAGTCCTGTGATAAAAGATGACCCAGGATCACAAATGTCAGCTGTCCAGCTAGTTTCCAGGCAATGAGGAGCTAAGGCGTTTTGGTGGGCCACTCTGAAGCCCACTCTGTAAGTTTATGTGCTTTTAAATCTAAGACTACCTCGTAAAGACGTGCTACGGTGGTGTTGACACTACTCTTATCTACTGTTGGGACTTCAATTGCGAACTTCGGGGCTTTTCGGTCAATGTTTTGGCATGGAACCGATCGAGGTGGGCACTGAAAGTGATTTAGCTCAGAACACAGCAAGAAATAGTCAGTAACAGATGAGATAAGCAAAGAAGAGAATTTATTCCTCTATTTTAGATCACTGTTTTCTGGAGTGCATGAAATTCAAGAGTACCAGAGAAAAAAAGAATAGAAAAAAAAGCAAACATGTCAATATTCGTACAAAAACTGAGGTAACTTCTATCAATTCCAGAAGGCACATTTTGCAGATTTCCATGAAAATGGATTCAGAGACTTGACGCATCTCCAATTATTTGGGCAAGTAACTCCAATTGATACACTTGCGACCACTCTTGCGAAGCAGCTGATTGGCCTTGGAGAAATGAGCGCATCCAAGGAAACCCCGATGGGCTGACAATGGTGATGGATGTGGACACTTCAGCACATGGTGGACTTTCTGCAGGAAAAAAGATGAATCTTTACATATCATTCTTATGCAAAAAAGGGACTGTGTTTGCCCAGGTTTCTACAGACACTTGTCCCAAGCTGATCATGCATGTCATTCCAAAGTCGATTCAGAGGCTTTCTTGGCATAATGCCTACCCAAAAAAACCAGCACTGGTGTACAAGGAAGAACTTAGGGAGTCAATAAGAGGGCAATGATGAGCAGAGGGCTTTCAAAACAGCTCCAAATTTCCATAATATTTAAAAGAAATAATATATATGTCACTTTATTTAGATATATAATCAGATAATATGAAAATATGAATATGGAAAAAGAAATAACAGATGAAGTGGAATGTTAATCTTGATTTCCTGTACATATTGATTTATATATATTGCAGAAATAAATAGTATTTTCACTGTACCAAGGACATGAGCATGGAGGTGATGGCAGAGAGGTGAATACCATGCGATTCTAAGAAGCAACGAAGTATGAAATTGCCTTTGATGTCAAAAGTTTCTTGCAACATTTTGAGTTCCCAAATTTCAGTTTCAGCCCCTGATTCATGATCTACAAACCATAAAAGGATGTGCAGTGTGGAGCATCTGCACATCACAGAGCTTGCTCCTGCTTCTGGAATTGTGATATGTTTCAAGTACGGCATATATACTCCTAAAAATGTCATTTTTCACAGAAAAGTCTTTTGTGAAATGTTTTTCATGGCATGAATCATTGTGATCTGGAAAATACAGAGGTTGATAGCAATATATCATTATGAATTATATGCCTGTCTGGATTGGAAGTGAGCTGTCAACCCATGCAGTCAGAGCTTGAAGTTGTAGGCTTGGATCCACATTTAATTTTATGGCAATGAGCAGTTGGCAGTGAGCTTTGATGCTGCCAAAATTTGACTGAGGGTTCATTGCAGTGCAACACTTAACACTCATATAGAGATTATAAAGACATGTCAAGTCTAGTTTCAACATGATCAAAAAAATGGAATCCATAAGGTGTCAAATGGAATCAGATGAGGAAGGGATGAACCCAGGAGGCCAAAAAAAGACCCTGGCTCATTCAGACGAAGATCTGCTACAAGTTGCACTCCAGATCTGGTCAACTAAGTCTACTGTCTGGAAAATGGAGAAAACCTGAGAAAACAAAGATACATGGCAGAAGTGGTTGTTTCAGACAATTGTGAATAATATTATCCATAAGGATTTTTGTTAGACATGCAACACCAGTTGAGTCAAAAACTTGGCAAAAGCCTGTATGGCACCAAAACATTAGTTAATAAATGAAACATTAAATAGGGTTCTCCCAATAAGCAGCATACAAAAAATTCCAGGCTTAATGTAGCAGCATTTTAAATTGAAATGGATTTTCTTAGTCAAATTAATGGAAAATTATTCTAGTGTGAAGATGCATGCATGAGAATGAATATTGCCTTCAAGAATGACACTTTTCAGGGGTGCATTCCATTGCTCTCATTAAAAAAATCATCCATTCTATACACACAGTTTCATAATTAAACAGCCATCTTCTACATCAGGGGTGTCAAACATACGGCCCGCGGGCCGGATCCGACCCGCAGAGGTGGTTCATCCGGCCTGCCGTCTGCTTCTGAAATTTTCCGCATGGATTGAGTGTCAGCACAAATTTAAGTGAAATTTTATGGGTGCAGCCCGCAAGCAGCTGCAGGGTAAGGAATGCGGCCCGCTGACCGATTTGAGTTTGACACCCCTGTTCTACATGATACACTAAGTGGGAAAAATACCCTCACCATGCAAAGAAGCATGTTACTTAACAAAGGCTGAGGTACTTCAGAAGTTGAACTTATCAGCTTCTAATTTCTGCCTCCTCACACATCATGTTCAGCTTGAGAGCAATTCAGGAAATTGATACCAGATTTATCATAACTCAAGTATGTTTGAGGGTAGCTCTACATGTTCAACCCCACAATGAAGTCATGCAGTCTGCCTGTGAAATGGAGGAGACAGGAGCCACCATTTCTTACTCCTTTTTTTTATGGCAATGAGCAGTTGGCAGTGAGCTTTGATGCTGCCAAAATTTGACTGAGGGTTCATTGCAGTGCAACACTTAACACTCATATAGAGATTATAAAGACATGTCAAGTCTAGTTTCAACATGACCAAAAAAATGGAATCCATAAAGTGTCAAATGGAATCAGATGATGAAGGGATGAACCCAGGAGGCCAAAAAAAAGACCCTGGCTCATCCAGACGAAGATCTGCTACAAGTTGCACTCCAGATCTGGTCAACTAAGTCTACTGTCTGGAAAATGGAGAAAACCCAAGAAAACAAAGATTCATGGCAGAAGTGGTTGTTTCAGACAATTGTGAATAATATTATCCATAAGGATTTTTGTTAGACATGCAACACCAGTCGAGTCAAAAACTTGGCAAAAGCCTGTATGGCACCAAAACATTAGTTAATAAATGAAACATTAAATAGGGTTCTCCCAATAAGCAGCATACAAAAAATTCCAGGCTTAATGTAGCAGCATTTTAAATTGAAATGGATTTTCTTAGTCAAATTAATGGAAAATTATTCTAGTGTGAAGATGCATGCATGAGAATGATAAGAATATTGCCTTCAAGAATGACACTTTTCAGGGGTGCATTCCATTGCTCTCATTAAAAAAATCATCCATTCTATACACACAGTTTCATAATTAAACAGCCATCTTCTACATGATACACTAAGTGGGAAAAATACTCTCCCCTTGCAAAGAAGCATGTTACTTAACAAAGGCTGAGGTACTTCAGAAGTTGAACTTATCAACTTCTAATTTCTGCCTCCTCACACATCATGTTCAGCTTGAGAGCAATTCAGGATATTGATACCAGATTTATCATAACTCAAGTATGTTTGAGGGTAGCTCTACATGTTCAACCCCACAATGAAGTCATGCAGTCTGCCTGTGAAATGGAGGAGACAGGAGCCACCATTTCTTACTCCTTTTCTTTCTCCAAGATGAAAGGGATGGAAGTTTCTAAAATCTTTTAGGTGAAGAACATGTCAAGACAAATCTTCCAATATCTTTTTGGATGAGCAATTGAATGCAACCCAAGATGTGAACATCATTGTACCTGCTGAGGAATTCTTGATGTCAAACAGTGAAAAAAGGATAAGAGCCAGGAATCTCACAGTATCAATTAGTGATTGCTTCTGTTGAGCAAATGAACCCCAAAGAAGAAAGACGATTGGCTGCTTTTGGCTACTGAGACATTTGATCACAGCATCAGTGAAGTGGCTCCATCCAGCTTCCTTATGCGAATTGGCACAGAAAGCTCTCACAGTGAGACCGGCATTAAGAAGAAGGACACCTGTAGAAGTTGGAGAAGGAAAGCATTTTTGAGAATTGGCTAAGGCCTGACAAGATATAGAAAGAATTCTGTACAAAAAACTACAAGCCTCAGTTGAAAACTGAAAAAATAAGTGGTTATGAAGGGTGCAACTGAGAATATTTCAAGATGAAGACTTTCATCCCATGATTGGGGAGAAAACTACACTACATTATGATTGCCTATTTTCAAATATAACATCAACAGATTTTATTCCTCTCATGCTGCAATACATTCTTCTTTTTGGGTGCTAACAGTGTAACAATCTAGAGCAGTGGTTCTCAACCTTCTTTTTTTGGCAGCACACCTAAGCCTTCCAGTGTGCTGTGGCACACTGGTTGAGAACCACAGATCTAGAGCATCACTCACTGTGACATCAAACAGAAGACTTACAATTCACGTTCATGTTCTTCTGTGGGTTTATGCTAGTACAGTAGGTTCAATTTCTGTCCTTAAAAGTCATGCACACAGCAAAGAGATGATAAAAAAAAAAGTCTTCATACCTTGCTGAGCCCATCCAGTCAAGTTTCCATGATCAGGTACTTCAAATCCTTCAATGTCACTCTTCAGTTCCTTGAAGATGTTCAATAAGCTAAAAGTAGAATCCAGGATAAAAATAAAATTTCTCAAATGTTTTCCGAGTAAGTAGATATTGAAATAATGTGTGATGAGATCTAACTACAAAATTATTCCCACAAAGCATAAGCCAAAACTACATAATTTCTTTGTACTTGTGCCCTAAGAAGTATGTAACATGTATTCATTGCCATACATGGAATGCAAATGGAATCTGTAAAAAAATTCAGCATATAACACAAGATAGAAGCTTAATGCTGTCAAAAGGAAAATCCTAAAAACCTGGAGTCTTGGGGATAAGGCTTGGAATATCTCTTTCCATGCTATTCTCCCTTTCTTATGTCCCTTAATCAAGAGGACATCAACTAGAGTTCCTTGGAAAAACCTCGCAAAGTAATTAATTTTGATCTGGCTGTCAATTTGCCAAAGTAGGAAGTTTCTATGGTATCAGCACTAGCATCTTTGATTACTTGTGGTGATCTGAAGCTGATTAGAATTTTACTCACCTTGGTGGTGGATCAACTCCTGTTGGGACAGAGAATGCAAGGCCATGGGCCTGTCCTGGATTATGGTATGGGTCTTGGCCCAGAAGAACAACCTTTACTTCATTTATGGCACAGTGAGTACTCCATGAATAGACTTGGTTCTCTGGAGGGAAAACCTTGGATTTGCTTCTCTCACTCACCAGGAATTCACTGAGCTGCAAATTTGGTCATGAACTCCTTACTCTGTATAAGTATCAGTGTTTAAGAATAGCATCATACATGACAAAGAAGGCTCACCAAAGACCATCTGCTGGAGACAGGGCATGAAAAGAAAAGAAAAAGATGGGAGAGACTATCAAGAGTAAGGAGGAAAAGACCATCATGATTGTTTAACAAGAAAGAGCAGCTTTATGTGAACATGAAGTAGCTGATGATTTTATTTTTCCTGGATTTGATAGGTTTTCAGATGACATTGCAGTCCATGAAAGCCATACCCACAAGCAAAAGCAGAGCAAGAGCCATGCATTAGAAGGGCATAGTTGAAGAAAGGATTAGCAAATGAACAAGCAGTGAAGTTCTTCAGTAGTATCTGAGACTGCATGCAGTTTTACCCAGCAATGACTCCTACACAGAAACATTTTCATGCATAATTTCTGCCTAGAATGCTCTATGCCCACAGCAGGAAATATAGTGGCTTCCTAGCTTTTCCTAGGCTAGATACCCTTGAAACCTTTCCTGCATACAAAGATTTTCAGGAATTGACAGATTTCAGGGCATGCTGTTCCCAAATAGTAGTATTGAGTCTGGCAAGGTCTCTTCCATTGCCATCTCAATATAAATGCCAGCTTAGAAATGATTCAACTCCTTTTGGTGTTAGTTTAAAATAATAAGCAAGAATGCAAGGCCACGTGCCTTGCATTCTTGTGCCATGCAACAGAGATGTAACAAAAACTTCGAAGTGAATCTGCACTTTTGAATATGAGATATGAGCTCAGCAAGTTTTCAGCTATAACAAACAGCATAGGCATAATTGGGCACAAGCTGATGGCTTTTTTCATCAGTCTCCATTGCAAAAGGCATTGAAGCATGTCCACAAGCTGTAAACAGTGAGGTAGGTAATGAACAATTTCTGTCAGTATCATACCAGGCTTTCTCCAAATAGAAACTTGTTTTACAGGCCAGACAAGTCTATGTGTACAACAGATTTTGTAAAATTCTGCCAACTATTGATTGAAAATAAAATGTCAACATTAAATGTAAAGTTCCTATGCACATAGAAGTGCTTACTCCAGATCTCTAGGCCAGCAATTTTCAAAAGGGGGGTCACAATCTCCTGAATACATGAAGAAAGGGAGTAAAAGAAGTTTGAGAACCACTACTCTAGGCTATGGATGAACACACAAGTCACAGCAAGGCAGCAAGTTTCATGTCTTCCAGTCATTGAAAATGAATCACATCACTCACTAAATTTCTAATTTCTTCCAGAAAAGACAAAGGCTTCTCCCAAAGGCAATTACTTACCTTCACAAAGTATGGTTTATTGAATTCAGGTTCCAGAGCCTTAAACCAAGACCTCCCAATATTTTCACAGAGTGCTGGAGTCAGCTTCACCTGACGACGGATGAGGGCAGTGATCTTGTTGTTCTCCATTCTTTCCAATTGCTCCTCGTCAAAGGTACTGCTTTCGTACAAGTTAAATAAGAAAATCCTAGTAAAAGACTTCATTCATTGCACCAAATACAAAAATTGATGAAAAGAAAACTTTGCAATGCAAAATGTGGAGACCAGTAAAGGCAATAGTACAGGGTGTTCTAAAACTTTCTTGGTGAACTATACTTAAGCATATTTGACATAAAACGATGTCAAAGAACCATACAAAGAAGCAAATGGTCTCAAAGCCAGTTCTAAATCCACGTAACAACATGCACATTCAGTATTTGCCTCTAGGTTTCAATTCACAGCTAAGAAGTATACTTCAGACTATTATAGGTGTTTTGATGATTGGCAATCTAATCATGACGGTCAACAGATTTCTATGGTTAATGTGGGGCAAGATGAAATGCTAGTGCAGCTGTAGGGTGGATTTTTGAACAGAACACTATTGATAATGCAGAAAAGCTGCATTATTGGATAGTACTCTGTTCAAAAATCCACCTAGTCTCCATACAAAGCATGCTTTAGTGTGAGACCCTAGATCAGCAGTATTCAAACTGCAGCCCACTAAGATGTCCTAAAAATTGACATTTCAATTTCAGTCAGTGTTAAGATATTCAGGCAGTTCAGGTAATTTAATTATGCATTTACATTCAGATGTTTATGCATTTAAGTGTGGTCTGCTGATCCTGCCAACAATTTAAAGAATTCATATACTGCTAAGATAAATTACTTTTACCTTGCCAGCAAATAGTAAAAGGTAAGAGAAAAATATGTGCCTATCGAAATGGGCAGAAGTGTGTGTAGATGCAGCAGGTGTAGGCACTTTTTGATTCCTGCTCATTTTTGAATGCAATTCTCTGACTTGAAGGAGCACAACCTGGAAGGGGAGCAGAGATTTGAACAGTTCACATTACAGAAATTTTGCAAATTTGTGCATTTGTTTGATGCAGCCCACTCAAGGTTGCTCATTTTTGAATGCAATTCTCTGACTTGAAGGAGCACAACCTGGAAGGGGAGCAGAGATTTGAACAGTTCACATTACAGAAATTTTGCAAATTTGTGCATTTGTTTGATGCAGCCCACTCAAGGTGGACCAAGGTATCCATTTGGCCCTCACCTCAAAAGTTTGGGGACCACTGCCCTAGATTGTGAAAACAAAAAGAAAAACTCATTTCCTACTAAGTTTTTGAGCACAATCATCCCACAATGAATGTCTCCTCAAAGTTGAATATCAAACTTGGATGGTCATTCATCAAACTGCTATGAAGACATGTCAAGTTCTGTCATTCTGAGACACTAATATAGAATATCCTTGTAACAAAGGTGGAAATGGTCAAAAGGGCAAATGATGGTTTGAGAAAAAATTCTGAAACATGCTTTTACAGTCAAAGAAAGTGCCAAAAACTTAGAGCTCAAGATACACACATTCCAATTGTATAATCAGAGGGAGGCAGTATACAAAAAAAGTAGCACATTTTTCACTTCAGATGTGGTTCTTTCCTCCTTCAGTGGTCAATGTTATCTTGCAGTTTGTACTCCAGTTATGACTATCAGGAACTGGAATACCCCTGCCATTCAACATACCCTCATTGCTGGAACCACCATGCTGGGAATATGTTGAAGAGCAGGGTGATGAGTGCATGTAAGAAGCTATTTGTCTCCGTTTCACCTTCCCTGGGGCCAAATTCAAAGTTTGGGTTTCACCTGGCTTAGACAGATATCTAAACAGATTTCAAGGAAACTGCAGAACCCCTGAGGTAAAGAATTCCTCTTTACAGACAACATGTCTCAAAATCAGATGTTGATATACCCTCCCTTGCTCCTACTTTTTAATATTGATGGTCTTCTTTCCAGATAACTACTTCTGTCAATTCTGTTTGACAACATCAGCCATCAAAAGGACTTCACTGAATACACCAATCATATTTTCCTACTAGATTTTCATTCACACACTTAGGTGAATGGTCACCAGTATCAATTTCCATCACCAATCAAATAGTGTGATCTCCATTTGTCCCCCTATTGACAGAAGGAGCTGGCCCAGAGTAGCAGGAGTGCCCCTTCTTTCATTTGTACTGCATCATCACTGTACCCAAGCATTTAAAAAAGCAATCAGAGCACTGAGGATATGGATTGCTTCAATGCACTGTTCTCTCTACATTCATTACATCAAGATCCTCCATCTGGATCCATTGGAATACCCCCCCAAGTCAAAAATTCCCTTTTGTCATGCTCCTCTTTGTATCATCATCCACTTGAGCCATAAGGAATGGAATGGACTTGAATGTGACACATGTGATCATGAACACCAGAGAGAATGCAAACACATTCTGCATTATTTTGTGTTGTCCTTTGATTCTCTCAACACTAAAACTTTTATTGTTTTGACAAAAGATTTCAAACATTTTGGATTAAATTGACATGTTGGTACCATCATTATGCTTTTGAGAGACATGAGATGAGGTCTTCACAGCACAAGCTCTTCAGGTCTTTCTAATCAGGATTGATCTTGCTACATCCGATCCAGATATTCCTTGAGGTCAAAACAATTGACATTAAATTGGCCTTTGCAATCAAAGTGAGGAATGGTTATTTCCCTTAGGGACAACTATTTTATACAGGGCACTTCTATTCCATCATGAAGCTTGCAGATTCATCCCATCTTTATTCAATTAGCTGCACAATAATGTAATGCATAAATCATGAGGGGAGTTGTACTAGTGCTCAGTAAACCTGGGTCTCAGGGGCCCTAGTGACCTTTGTAACCTTAATTTGAGCTCTTCATCCCATCTTTATTCAATTAGCTGCACAATAATGTAATGCATAAATCATGAGGGGAGTTGTACTAGTGCTCAGTAAACCTGGGTCTCAGGGGCCCTAGTGACCTTTGTAACCTTAATTTGAGCTCTTATCATACATTATTCAGCATACACACCTACGCCACTTCAACCCTTTCCAGCAAGAAACCACAAAGGATTGCATAAAGAAGACAAAAATTTCGACTTACAATATATTTTTTAAGTAAAGACAAGAAAGATGTTTTCCAGGAAGAACCAATGATACAAGCTGCTCACCTATTACACTCTTCCCTTGAGTTCACCTCTTCTGGATCTGTCTTTAACCTCTTCTTTGGTGGTTCCTGAGGCAAAAAAAAAAACCACTGATCTCTGAAGCAATCTTTATATTGCCTGCATCTCAATGAATCTCAACAGAATCTCACAGGCAAAATATAAGGTATGTTCTAAGTATTAACAGAACACTTACTGAACTTTTCCTTTGGAAAGAATTGTGAATGACATTAACTTACAGGCATTGAATGTGATACATCATTCATGGATCAGAATGCATTTAGAGTCAGAATATGTTCTTTAGTCTTCATGGCTGTGGGTTGTTCATTGTCAAGCAGCAACAGAATGCTGACAGACTATTCATGGAGGAGAGAAGCCTTCTGGAGCTTCATGGGTATTGTAAACACTTCCCAAACATGTCTTGTATTACTTTATATGCATTTTAAAATCAAGTGTCTTTTCTTCTTCCTCTGATTGGCTATATGCATACTTACACTTCTGATACACAAGTTAAAACAGGGTGGATAACAACAGAAGTGCTCAGGCAGGCAAATTACCATTGCTCTCACTATTTATCTTCTTTTGCTTGCATTTACTTAATCACCTCTACATGGAGTGCATGATGGGGCACAGCCAGAGGAAGGGATGGATGGTAACTAGACATGGACATGAGCCATTTTATGCAACACAAAAAATTAGTAACACCACTCTGGAAACACCTGTAAATAATAGCTTAAGATAACCTAAACTGTTCACAACTTCAGTTTGTGAGCCCCCTCAACTAGCTGATAGTAGGATGTGACAGAAGTGAAGCTATTAAAGGGGGGAATGAGACATACTCAGAATGAAGGCAGGAATGTTTTCAAATGAGATATGATCTAGTCAGATTCACAAGAATTTATTTTAGCAATTCCAATGAATGTGCCCTAATGGGTATGAACTTAAATGTATATTTATGGTCTTAATATATTCTTAATTATTTCAATGTATTGGTAAATTCTCAGCCTGGACATCTATCACAAAAATTTATTTTAGCAATTCCAATGAATGTGCCCTAATGGGTATGAACTTAAATGTATATTTATGGTCTTAATATATTCTTAATTATTTCAATGTATTGGTAAATTCTCAGCCTGGACATCTATATGTAGTGGCAAAATTACTTACATGCAATTGAAATAAGATTGGCAGAGGCTCCTGAAGAGTACTAGTAGTGAAAGATCACCAACAAGAACATAGCATACTATCTTAGCCAAGTGCTGAAAAAGTGCTTACTTGTATACTATACAGAATATAGGTGCCATCAGTGTCACATGTGAATCACATAAGGAACTCACCAGAGATTTCCCTTTCCCTTGAGGAGACTGCTTGAAGAATTGGAGCAAGGTTGCTTGAGCAGGCATGGCCAAGCAGCAACCACAATCAGTTCAAATTGATGAAGAGAGGACCTGAATTTAAGTATCAGAGCAAGATCTGTGAATGCATCAGGTTAAGTAATCTGTTACTGGTACTTTCAAGGTTCATATATAAAAGAGAAGTTCTTGAATATCCAGAATTGCCATAAGGATCAATGTCTGAAAGCAGATTCATGAAAGATGTGTGATAGTATAGTTATGTAGTTCTACTGCTTGCCCCAGTTTTTCTGATCAGGTGTGTAAAGGAGAGGTTCAGGAGGTTGTGGCTTCTGAGAGGATTGATGAAGAATGAAGAGGGTTCTTTGCAAAGGAACCATGATACATAAGCTCAGTACCCATCATGTGTGAGCAGTATGAACCAGTACCACTTTGAGGACTAGGATGAGTTGTCATAGCTAAGAATAGAGAATTGTCATAGCTAAGTGGAAATTACCACACCTATTTCAGTACATGAAGCATCAATAAAATCACCTAAGTAGGTGTGCAATTTCTTGACCTCAAGTACTGAAGTAAGACTTGTAGTACAAAAAAGAACTTGATATCAAGACACATATAGATCAACAAAGAGACAAATCATTCTGAATGGGATCATTTTAAGCTAGAAGTTCCTTGGCAATCAGCACTGGAAGTTCTCAAAAGGCAAACTATATTTTGGGAAAATTCCATAGTAACTTAACCCATTCACTGCTGCCTGGAAGTTAGCATATTAAATGCTGGGTGGTATGGGAATTTGAACAGTCTGTGATAAGAAAATTTTCACTTGACTTGCTGCTAATTACAATGCAAATGCAATTCCATAAGAAATTCATCAAATTGTGACATATTAGCACACAAAGTTAGCACACAGCAAGAGTTGGGGCATGACATATTAACACATAGTGTAAGCAGTGAATGGGTTAATTAATACAGGTCTCTAGTTTTTGCTCAAGACTCATGAATATTTCAGGCACTTTTCAGTACTTTTAGTATTAAATGAGCATTAATTCCACAAAAGGCACACTTAATTTTTTAGGCCTAAACTGACTAAATTGCCAACTTCAATTTCAATATTTTACCACTGTGTGAATTAAATTGAGAGTTCACCCTAAATTGGAGCCTTCAGAGCTATGAACTACTAGGCCCACCAGGTCTGGTATTGTTACCAGCCTTCCAATCTCAGGTAATGGTGGGTGAAAACTGGGAATTTTTTTTATTACCTGACAACTAATAAAATGCAATTTTTATATTAAATTTACATACAAATAAAATTATTTGCAAGCACTTTTCAAGAAAATTCATTTAGCGCATTAATAAAGGCAATCATAATTAGCAAAAAAATTTGCAATTGTTTGGGGAATTTGAAAGTTTTGAACAAATCTTGGAGAATTTTCACTGGAATCTTTAGTCAAGCATAGACTCTGCATGCTTTCACACGGAATGGCCCTCATACAAAGGCACCCTCACAAGTGCATAATCAAAACTAATTTTACCAGTCCAATATCCAAAAGCATTTTTTTCTATTCTCACTGTATTTTGAGGAATTCATGGCAAAATCAGAGAGGTGAGTACTGAAACGAGGACTGAAAACTTACGTACTTTCTGAGTACGTCCAAAAGGGTAGGTTCCGGTTACTTTGTATACTTCATTAACTTACTGTTACTGGTCAAAAAAAAAGAAAGTGTTTTTGTATCTCTCCACAGTAGCAATGTATCAAAGCACAGAGACTTATATATCACAGATCCTCATATATGCCATCGAGCAAGGACAAAAACAATCAACAAAGAATGACAGACTGACAGCCATCAAATGCATAAAACTGGAAGTTCATGAGAAAGCAATCAACAGCACTCCAATAAACAATTTTGTGCTCAATTCAATAACAAGATAAGAAGAAATCTTTACTTTGGGGAAGAATGATATAAGAATAAAATAATTCCAAAATTCTTGAATCTACAGCCGTATCATGCAAAAAGGATATTGCACTTTGTACTGACAAACCTCAGCAAAACTCAAGGGTTTGAGTTTGAGATGCAACTGTATCATTACTTAACACAGGAAAATTCTAAGAACATAATCTTTGAGGATGAGAAAGTTTCTGAAAGCAAAACATAAGCTTTACCTCTTGGCCAACCAGTCAAGTAATAAGAGAAAAGCAGATCTTTAGTTTTGATTCTGCAATTGCCATAACTATAAATGAAGAGAAAAAAAGAACTCATAAAAAACAGACAAAGCAGTTTTGTTTGAATAAGTAGACAGTAAGAGTTCCCCTTACCTGGGTTTTGATAAAAAGGAACTCAACCTGGTTAGACAGGAAAAACTTAAGTGATCAATACATAGATGAGTAACTGTACCTACATTGACACATCTTGGCATCTTGATATAGAATGATAAGGCTGAAATATTGGCAAACTGTGCCCAATTTTTCTGAAGACACATTCACCAGTCTATATTTTTCATAATTTAGCACTGTCTTAACGATAGCGAATCCTTCTTGCATTGAAAGTGGGTACAAAGACTTTTCTTAACATTTAGCCCTGCTTGGCAATACTTACCCAAGATCACAGCTCAGCACCATTAAATTTTAATCAAATACATGATAGTAATTCAACTGCTGATCCCATCAAACACCTCACAGGGTGAATCACAGTCACAATGGATCAACCAGAGCCTCTTCCACTCTGCACAACACAGGGGCTGAACACCAGGATGCATATTCATATATCTGAGAATGGTCCCATCAGGTATGAAATCTATGGTCATGCATTTTCTCGTCTTGCTTTACATGAGCCTGAGGAATGGCTCTTCTTCAGACTATCTTCCAAGATTGCAAAAGAAAACTGCTAAGCTTGACAGATGGATCATTAAACACAGCATGCAAATTGTTCAAATCCAAAGTGTGACCAACAAAACACCACATTGAACCACACTGCATTGCTATTAGGTGATGCAGTTCATGGACATTAAGAAAATAGAAAAGCTGATGAAGATAGAGATTGTGCATGTTAATAAATCAG